ATGTATAGAGTGTATTTCATACCATCAGTTGTTAGTAATGGTCGTTAGATTTCGTACGTTTACTTAATCACTTTTTAGGTCTTTGGACCCAAAGGTTCCACACAGTTTTAAAATAGTATTTTCTAAATATTTGGTTTTCTTACACTATAAAAAAAAGAAAACATATATTTGCAGAAGATCCATAGTTTGTTCATGAAAACATTTCTCTCAGGGTTAAAATTTTACTATACTAGCCTTTGAGGGCGCTTCGCGCCCATCTTCTAAATTAATTGTGAACATGTTCTCTTTGTGTACATCGTAAATCAAAACAAAAATAATTCGCGGATTTTCACAAAAAATTTCGTGGATTTTCAAAATTTTAAAAAATTGAATGAAGATCGAATTTTGATGGAGACAAATATTTAAAATTTTGATCATTCATAAACCTTCCCTGGGGTCCCTAGATGTCCCACAAAAAATTTGGGCCCGATCGGTTCAGCCATTTTGACGTTTATTGGATACAAACAAACATACAAACAGACAAACAAACAGACAGACAAGCCAAATTTATATATAGAAGCGTAAGAAAAGTTTAGAAAAGAGTTTTGAAATTTGTGAAACTTTTCAAGATTTTGTGAAACCTTTTATAAGTTAAAAAAACCTTTAAAGTCTTAAAAGAAGAACGAAATCCAATGTCAAACACTGTCAGTTGCTCGACTTTACGTTAAACGTTCTGAACAAGTTGAACTCCAAACCCTGTACATCCTCTAATAAACTAAGTTTAAAATGATTTCTTCGCTGATTCTAAAATTTGGACGCCCGGGTTTTCAAGTTTCAACTCATTATTAGTGCATTTTAGTAGCAATTAGAGTCATTCTCGGAACAATCCTTGTTTGCTTGTCATGTCATGACCGCGGGGTTTAATTCAATAATTCATTCTTTAAATTGTTTTTATTTCAAAGTGTTGTCCTTCATTGGAATCCACCCCATGTTGGTTTTAATGACAATACGAATTCGAGGGTTAAAATAACTATTCGGTTTAACGTAAATAATTTACTCTGAGAGATGTAGAGTAGCTACTCTGAGAGATGTAGAGCAGCTTCTCTGAGAGATGTAAAGCAGCTTCTCTGAGAGATGTAGAGCAGATTCTCTGAGAGATGTAGAGTAGCCTCTCTGAGAGATGTAGAGTAGCTTCTCTAAGAGATGTAGAGCAGCTTCTCTGAGAAATTAGAGTAGCTTCTCTGAGAGATGTAGAGTATCTTCTCTGAGAGATGTAGAGTAAATTCTCTGAGAGATGTTGAGTAGCTTCTCAGAGAGATTTAGAGTAGCTTCTCTGAGAGATGTAGAGTAGCTTCTCTAAGAGATGTAGAGTAGCTTATCTGAGAGATGGATGTAGAGCAGCTTCTCTGAGAGAAGTAGAGTATATTCTCTGAGGGATGTAGAGTAGCTTCTTTGAGGGATGTAGATTAGTTTCTCTGAGAGATGCAGAGTAGCTAATCTGAGAGATGTAGAGCAGCTTCTTTGAGAGATGTGAGTAGCTTCTATTAGAGAAGTAGAGTATCTTCTCTGAGAGATGTAAAGTAGCTTCTCTGAGAGATGTAGAGTATCTTCTCTGAGAGATGTACAGTAGCTTCTCTACAAGATGTAGAGTATCTTCTCTGAGAAATGTAGAGTATCTTCTCTGAGAGATGTAGACTGTAGAGTATCTTCTCTGAGAGATGTAGAGTAGCTTCTGTAAAAGATGTAGAGTATCTTCTCTAAAAGATGTAGAGTATCTTCTCTGAGAGATGTAGTGTGGCTTCTCTGAGAGATGTAAAGCAGCTTCTCTGAGATATTTAGAGTAGCTTCTCTGAGATATTTAGAGTAGCACCTATGAGAAATGAAGAAAAGCTCCAATGAGAGGTGTAGAGTAGCTTCTCTGAGAATCGTAGAGCAGCTCCCCTATTTCACTGAAAGTTGACCATAATTGGGTTTCCTGAATTAAAAAAAAAACATAAATCTAATTTACTGGACGACCTTGAAAAAATACAATTTATTGTGAGAAACACTACACATATCTATGGACAGACCTTGAAAGGTTTTTTCCTTTTCAAAAATTAGTTGCCTAAAACTATAACTTTGTAATTCTTTTTCCAAGTTTGAAAGATCAAAAGATGCAAAAATACTAGTTAGTTCCTTCTCCTGAGTGGTACATGTTGGCACATGTTAACGTTTTTAAACAATCATTTTCATTATGAATAGATGTAAAACACATATATACATATATCCTTTGTTTGGGTGTCTGTTTGTTTGTATCCAATGAACGTCAAAACGGCTGAACCGATCGGGTCAAGGAAGGTTTAAGAAATATCAAATTCAAAAACTGTTGCCTATAAGCTTAATTTGCGAAGCTCCCTAAGAGCCTTGATGTGTAGATTCATATTTCGAGGATCCTTGTGTCCACTGTAGATTCATATTTCGAGAATCCTTGTGTCCACTGTGGATAAATATTTCGAGAATCCTTGTGTCCACTGTAGATTCATATTTCGAGAATCCTTATGTCCACTGTGGATAAATATTTCGAGAATCCTTGTGTCCACTGTAGATTCATATTTCGAGAGTCCTTGTGTCCACTGTAGATTCATATTTCGAGAATCCTTGTGTCCACTGTAGATTCATATTTCGAGAATCCTTGTGTCCACTGTAGATAAATATTTCGAGAATCCTTGTGTCCACTGTGGATAAATATTTCGAGAATCCTTGTTTCCACTGTAGATAAATATTTCGAGAATCCTTGTGTCCACTGTGGATTCATATTTCGAGAATCCTTGTGTCCGCAGTAGATTCATATTTCGAGAATCCTTGTGTCCACTGTGGATAAATATTTCAACACAAAACAACAAAGTTTAAAAATTCAAGGATCCCTGCAATCCATCCATCCATATATGTCAGGGTTGGTTTAAGATAATCACTCTGGTTGTTGCTAATGACGACATGGTTGAATTTCAGTTTTTCTATGTTGATTTTACCTCATTATACATTTGTTTGATGTCTTACTACAAAAATATGAAAAAATATGTCATTAATAGACTGTAAAATATACTGGCCTTAAAATACATTTTTGAATTGTAATTCCAGTTTAAAATTACCTATGCTCGTATTGAATAAAAACCAGGGTTTAACAACTGCAATAAAATTGGCAAAATAGTTGCAAAATTTACGGTTTTATGGGAAAATAAATATTAGATGTACATGTAGAAACCATCCAAGAATTCACAGCATTAAAGTATTTTGTAAAATCATTAATGTATCTCCAAGCTAGTAGGATGTTTGTAAATGAAAGTTTGTGTTCCCATGATTAAATGATTTCATGTTTTGAATATCTCAATCTTCGTGGTTTTTTAATGCCACTTTTTTCAAAAATCTGCCAAGATCCCAAAGAAACCGTAAATATATAAAGGGATTGAGTCTTTGCAACAAACACCGATTGTATAATCCCTATATCTTTGCAACCCAATGTCGTACGCCTGAGATATTTCAAACTAAGAATTTTTAGCTAAAAAAATCTTAGCTTGAACTATCAAAAGTTTACACATTGAGGTTGCAAAGAAATAAGAATTAGAAAATTTGAGGCTGGTGTGAAGACTCAATTCTTTAACTAGTATTATAAGCCCCAGAGCTCTTGATTTTTGAATAGGTCGTTTACAAACTTACTCTGCAGTCTAACCTTACCCGGCCTGGAGTCTGGACAAGATGTATTCGGCTTCTTCAATTTAAATTTAATCTAGTTTTGGTCTATAAATTAACATATCTTCACAGTTCCAGAGTTGTGGTCTATAGATTAACATATCTTTACAGTTCCAGAGTTGTGGTCTATAGATTAACATATCTTCACAGTTCCAGAGTTGTGGTCTATAGATTAACATATCTTCACAGTTCCAGAGTTGTGGTCTATAGATTAACATATCTTTACAGTTCCAGAGTTGTGGTCTATAGATTAACATATCTTCACAGTTCCAGAGTTGTGGTCTATAGATTAACATATCTTTACAGTTCCAGAGTTGTGGTCTATAAATTAACATATCTTCACAGTTCCAGAGTTTTGGTCTATAAATTAACATATCTTCACAGTTCCAGAGTTTTGGTCTATAGATTAACATATCTTCACAGTTCCAGAGGAGTTTTGGTCGAGAAATTAACATATCTTGACAGTTCCAGAGTTGTGGTCTATAAATTAACATATCTTGACAGTTCCAGAGTTTTTGTCTATAGATTAATATATCTTGACAGTTCCAGAGTTTTGGTCTATAAATTAACATATCTTCACAGTTCCAGAGTTTTGGTCTATAAATTAACATATCTTCACAGTTTCAGAGTTGTGGTCTATAGATTAACATATCTTCACAGTTCCTGAGTTTTGGTCTATAGATTAACATATCTTCACAGTTTCAGAGTTGTGGTCTATAAATTAACATATCTTCACAGTTTCAGAGTTTTTTCTTCATCTTTTTATTGGTTAAAACGCATCCGCCGACAAAAAAAGTATATAAGAGTCGAAACAATTATGTCTAAGTGGTCAAATTGTAATCGAAAGGGACAGCTTGCTGAAACAAATTCAAAACTGTTAAATCAGTTTGAACAACATAAAGTTAGAATTTGTACGCTTAATCCTAAAATTGTAGACTTTAACGAAATTTAGGAAGGTATCGTCTTAAAAAAGGGCAAAAAAGGTAATTAATTAGTTTGACAGTTTAAGAAAAAACAAGGATAAAATATTTATTGTAGCTCAAAATAAGACCGCTTGAACTTTATGTTTTTGTAAAGAATGTAATTATATAAAAATCCCCTTTTTATCCCCCTTCCTTCTCCCTCCCCTTGTATCTTCTCTTTTTATCCCCCTCCCTTCTCCCTCCCCCTGCATCTTCTCTTTTTATCCCCCTCCCTTCTCCCTCCCCTGCATCTTCTCTTTCCGCGTGATAACATCTCAATTGAACAACTCTCCGTTTCCGTGCGTAGCGCGACATCGCGTAGTTGTATTTGAACCCTGAGTATGTAAACATGTGCCCGGAGTAGAACCTAACCATGATCTCTACACTAGAATTAAACCACTATGTGAAAATGTGTCTCCTTCAATCCTTGATATTAAACACGTTTATACTTTTAACCACAGCACAGGTGATTATTGATTCTTAATTATATCAAATTAGTTTAGTTATATTTCATTATTGGTTCAGTAAGATACGCAACCCCCCCCCCCTTTCTACACGTTTATTCCTTCCTTATAATTTCCCACATTTAAATTTTTTTTTTAATAATTACAAAATACAATTTGTACTTCGAATGTAACTATAACTAAAACTATTCGGAAATCTGACTTGATTGAGGACTTTTGTTGGAGCAAAGGAACTGAGTTTTTGTCACAAACTCTACTTTTCTAATCTCTATATCTTTGCTACCCAATGTCGTAGACCTTTGATATCTCAAAATATGAATTCTGTTAGGCCAAATAATCTAAGTTTGAAATATCAAAGGTTTACATCATCAGATTGTAAAGATATAGGGATTAGACAATTTGAGTTTGTGACAGTTCCTTTAAGATTGATAACTGATATTTGAAACATATGGGGCCGCAGTAAAATATATTAAATAACCAAAGTCTGATAAAGAGCAATATGAGAATGTGCTCTTATCAACGTAATTATGGTAAATTATTCATTCTTCATTCCATGTGTTTGTTTGTTTTTATAACAGTAAAAGTAAGAATGAACCGTGTGAAAAAGTGTTTAATGTGTCTATTATTACATCTTCTAATGACAGAGGATGAAAATTGTTCTCATCTTATTTTAGAAATTCGGATGAAAAGCTAGGTCCAAGTTAAACCTGTCTTGTATATTTATCATAAAATTAGCAGATACAATTCTAACCGTTCATTTATTATCAATTCTTCTTACAGAAAAAAAGACGCAAACAGGCCTAATTAGATTGAATGCATATAACCTTGCTTGAACCCTGACCATGAAATTGCACACTGCTTATATAGAATAGTTAATATTAAATAAATATAAACATCTTAATCAGAAAAAAGGCTTCATGAAAAATCCATACATCAACTTCATCAACTCTCCCGAAAGAATGACTGTCAGTAAAAAACTAAACTATTCATTGTGGGATTATTTTAAAACGGGATTAATCTAAATCCAAATGTCCTGACGGGATTTTAAATAATTACCATCGTCCCTTGTGCCATTTTAAACAGAATAAAAACCTAAACAGTGTAAAAAATACTCGAAAAAACACTTGGATATTAAGACCTGCAATCTTTGAAGATTTTTTTTATGATTTTATGGGTATTGTTTTAACTTGTCGGTATTAGAAACCCACACTCCTTTTATTTTATGGTCTTTGCACTGTTCCGTAATTTTTCATGGATAAAGCATTCATTTAAACTAAACAGCTATGCTTGTTATTTTCCTTCTGATATTAGCAAAGGACAAATATTCAAAATTTTCCCAAATGTATTAATACCTCAATTTTTATCATTTTAATGTATTTCTAAATTATTCCTAAATTATCCTTAATTGCGGTTAACATACAGTTGTCTGTATTGTAGTGCGGGCTATATAGTCAACCAAGCGATGTATTCATAATTAAGTAAAGGTTTTTATCAATTTTCTGCACAACTAAATCTAACAACATTTTATGCATTATACGGACTTTTAACATTTCGCTTTCATTCAAGGGTGGTAAAAAATTAATATTAAAGTTGATAAAAAGTAGATACAATTCATTAGGTGAATCTTCCATAAAAATTATGAATATAGAATCTAACAATTTTTAACACAATTATAGAGAGGGTGCAATTTTTACTATAGTTCTTTTTATTTTATTTTTAACACCAGATTTGAAAAAAAGGAATTGAGTTTTTGCCACAAACTCTGATATTTTAATTCATATATATTTACAATTTGATGGAGTACATATTTGATATTTCAAACTATAAATGCTTTTATATTAAATAATATAAGTTTGAAATATCAAATATGTACTTTATCAAATTGTAAAGATATAGGAATTAGAAAATTTAAGTTTGTGGCAAAGACTCAATTCCTTTGCACTCTTTCAATGAACGGAGAAAAGGGGCGGAAAAAATAATGCATTAAAATCCTACGTATACGAAATAAAAAGAGAAAACAAAAGAAAAACCTGATAAAAAAATAAAGAAAAAACAAAAATAGAAGATAAAGACAATAAGAAAGCGTGAAGATTAAAAATGAGATAAAAGAAAGAAAATCTTCCTGGTTCATAATCTTCAAATATCTGTGTTCTTCTTAAATATATCTTCGAGACGTCCTTGCATAATATTGGGTTTCGGTTTAAATTTAACGTTTTAAAGGGGTTGCTATTTTGATCGCTACTAATCTTACTTTTATCTGTTGCGTCTATAATGAGAACATTGTTAAAAACGACTCATGCTGAAGAACGTAGCGTCCATACAAATTCAGAAAGTTGCAACATTCAACTCGGATCGAAAAAAAATTAATTTAGTTCCAAACAGATAATTTTTCGACACATTCTTATATAATTGATATTTCATAATATTTTTTATTTTTTTTTATGATCTGATAGTTACTTTTGAAAACATATTTTCCAGGAATGTTCGAAAATTCAGCGCCAGCGAAATATTATTTAAAAAAAACAAAATCAAAAATATTATGAAATATTAACTATGTATGAATGCGTCGAAAAATAATCGATGACTATTGTTTGTAATATCTGAATGATTTGTTTGGAATTAAATTGATTATTTTACGATCCGAGTTAAATGTTGCAAGTTTCTGAATTTGTATGGACGCCGCGTTCTTCGGTGTGAGTCGTTTTTAACAATTTTCTCCTTATAGACGGAACCGATAGAAGTAAAATTAGTAGCGATCAAAAGCGCTTATTTTTCGCCGTAAGCCTGCACCCCCTTTCATTTTTCGCGAATGAGAACAAAATGGTAAACGTCCAAACATAAAGAGCTAAATCGGTTTTCTAATCGAAAAGTTTTCGAGATCTTATCTTATCCTTTGTTAAATGTTAGAATACGTTAGGTTTTGTTGAACTATATTCTAGCTTAGTAGAGATCAAGCAAAGGGACTTATGATTAGGGAGTGATTTAAAAAGTTAATAACTACTAAAAATATTATTTTTAAAACATCTACAAGATAATATGTACCCTGAAGGTCAGTTACCCCAAGGTTAACTTTCAAAGGATTTTTGTTGGTACAGAAACTTAACATTTTTAACTTCCAAATCTTGTAATTCAATTTATTAATATAATATCAGATTCGGTTATTTCTCATTTTAATCAGATTTAACGCTTAGAATCGGATTCCTTCACTTGCGTTCCCCTAGTTAAACATTTACAACTAAATGTCAAAAATCATTCTCTGATGACATATTATTGTGCACTGTGCACTGTGCAGTATTGAATGAAGAATTAAAGGAGAAAATATGAAGCAAACAAGGCCGGCAGAATGCAGGTCACCAAGAAACTATGAAGGGGAGAGGGGGGGGGGAGGGTTCTGAGGTTAAAGACACTTTTACCTAAACAAAAATCAACACTGGCATATTTACAGTCTAAGGGTATGGAATGCCTATATCATGTAAGAGATAGAAGTGGGGGAGAATGCAACACTAGGAGGTAGAAGAGGGGGAGAATGCAACACTATACCATTACTATATTCTAGGAGGTAGAAGAGGGGAAGAATGCAACACTGTACCATTACTATATTCTAGGAGGTAGAAGAGGGGGAGAATGCAACACTATACCATTACTATCCACATAATCAGCACCTTTTCTCACTCCCAGCCTGTGCATCCCAACAGGTAAAATCTAAGAACTAATGTGCTCCAATTTTAGGCATTCTATTTTCTAAATTTGTATTCAACATAAAATTTTCATCTTTTGTATGTGTAGGTCTGTGAAAGTGTCCTTAGCCTTGGTTTCTAATACTGTACTTTATTGTATAGGTTTTTAAATCTGTACTCTGATGTATAGATAGTTTTAAATACTGTACTCTAATGTATAGTTTTCTAAGACTGTACTCTAATGTATAGTTTTCTAAGACTGTACTCTATTGAATAGGTTAATAATACTGTACTCTAATGTATAGGTTTTCAGGCTGTACTCTGTTAAATAGGTTAATAATACAGTACTCTAATGTATAGGTTTTCAGTCTGTACTCTATTGAATAGGTTAATAATACAGTACTCTAATGTATAGGTTTTCAGGCTGTACTGAATACTTTTTAGGTTTGTCTGTAATCTTCTGTGTAAATTTGTAATCCGTAATATTGAATATTGTAATATCCAACGGATTACATATATTATATAAGACAAGAAAATGTGTAGAGTAAATTCTCTTTAAAGTTTTAAGCGTAAAATTTTGTACTTTTTGATCATTAATTTAACTTGGTTAAATTACAACTAATTACATCGCCGGGGTGCAATTAGTTGTAAACTTGTAAAGGAGCACAGATATGTATCCACTGTACAACTCTATGTACTGTTTTTTAACTTTGTACTGTCTAGGTTTGTAATGCTGTGTACCTGAGATTAAACTTTTCTACTCCCCTCTGCGCATGCCCAGAGGAGGGTGACCCGTGCTCAGCTTCTACGCTAGATGATGACGGTCATTCTCTCAGGAACTTTATAAATCAACATCTGAACATTTTTGCCATTTGAATTTATATTTCTGTTTCTGATTTTATCATTTAACAATTGCTTTTCTTGTCAATCGTTTCATAAAAAAAATCGCCGGATTTGTTTTGTTTAAATTGGTGGAATTTCAAAAATATAAATTGGGCAACATTTTTTCCAGTAAATTTTTGCCTTTATATAAGCCTTATTTGGGTTCAGCCGCTTTGACGTTTATTGGATACAAAAAGACAGTTCAGAAAGGCAGACAAGCCAAATAAAGATGTATTCATCAAAAATTATTTCCATTGTGTTGATTAATAAACTTTTCAGACTAGCTGCGGACAGAACTGGTGAGGTAAATTAATGAAAACTGAATATGAAAACACGTGTTAAAGGAAATGTCGTGCAATTTTCGCATGTTTCCTCGAAAATTTTTAATTGTTTTTTTTTTGTCGAAATTTTCGAATATTTTGTTTCGCGAAATTTGCATTTTTTCGTAAAACAGATTATAATGCGAAATTTTGCGAAAATTTTCGCATTTATCGTGAGTGAACGAAATGCGAAATCTTCGGCGAAACGATTTATCCTTTTCGCTGGAAACCCAACGTACAATATGAATTCACGTGACCCTTTATTTCTAGACCTTCATGCCCGATTCACAATGTTACCCTTTGGAGAACCGTCGTCAATGAGAACAATCTAGAATGTTCTGCAGACAGAACTACGATACAAAGCTAGAACAATTAGCTTCTCTTGGAACCTGGAATATAATATGTCAACAAATTGTTATAAAACAATACGATAAATTATATCCGCTTAAACGGCCTGAAGTTCCGGTTTCACAGATTGCCTGACCAAGACTAAATTTGACTTCCGGTTTCTAAGTTTTAACAAGAATTTATGGATAAGATTTTCTATCCTTGTGACAAAAAAAATGTTTGTTTAAAAAATTAACGCTTTTAAAATGTATATGGTATTTTTGTTTTTATTTGCACTATTGCAATTTACGGACATCTAAAGTAACTTTACAGAGAATTTTAAGCACTATTTTCTACAACCTGCCATTTGTTTTAAAATACTTTGTAAGTATGAGGAGAAAGATAGAAAGTTGAGCTGAAGCAAGCGTGAAAAAAATGGATATAAAAATTAATAACATTTATAATGATAAGCGTCCTGGGGTCCGGAATTGAACGTGATAAAAACAATTTGCGCAATACAGGAAAGTGGGCGTAGCGAAGTGCACGATAAACTCTAATAGATATTTAAGATGACTTGTAAATTGAACCTGAAATGAAAAAGTTCAGGTGACTGAATTTATTAATTGTTTAAAATGTCCTGATAAATAGACAGGGGCGGCTTATGATATTTTCCAAGGAGGGGAAATTGAAATATTGCGAAATTTTTTATCCCTCCCCTTCGAAGTTTTTTTTTACAGGAAATTTGGTTATTTTTTATCAAAGCCTTGAGCAGCTGGGGGGGGGGGGGAATGTGGGTGAAGATTTAGATTTACATTAAAATATTGTTTCGAGAGAAAAACTTTTTTGGCGTCTATTCTTAACAATCGAAATTTACGGAGTGGAAGGTTCCTGCTCTCTCTTCTTGCGCTCCTATTTTTTCCAGGGGGGGGGGCGTTCTCCCAATTTTCCAGGGAGAGCAACATCCCCCAAATTTTCCAGCGGGGGACGTCCCCCCTTTCCCCCCCCCCTCCATAAGCTGCCTCTGTAAAAGAGTTAAGATTCTGATTTTCTTCAGTTTTCTCAAAACTTTTAAAAAACATTTATTTATATGTTACTCAATGGCTGTAAGGTATGTATAGTCAACTACACCAGAATACAAGGATATCAGAGTAATTATAGTTCCTTTATTATAACTATTCAAATTATTTAGTATCTAATAAATAGAAACTTTCATGATTTTTAACAGGTTGTCATAAAAAACAAATTAATATTATTGTAAATTTTTTTTAATTTTTCAACTTTTCATATATCGCTGCAGTGCACATACAGACTACAGAACACCTATTATTAGCAACTGCGTGACAGTCATGTGACAGGGCTATTAAGTATTTATGGGTTGTATAATGTATACTGTATTGTATATAGGTAGCAAGCTGACGCTTCAACCTTCAACTTCTTTGATATCCGTGAAATAATGTTTTATTAAAGGGAAATCAAGTAAAAACTCTTTTACAGAGTTGAATGTGCCAGTTGCACCCTTTAACCTTTATTTGAACATCGATTAAGTAGAAAGATATAGAATAACCAGGAAATGATGAAATTCAAGGAAGAAAAAGTACATCATCATAATTTTTCAAAAGTAATTTTCCCGTATCTAGAGGGTCACCTGAATTTACGTTGACACGAGGGGTAAAGGAACTGTTGTAAGTCTTGTGAATCGGATATGGTAGGTCACTAAAACTATGTGTGACAGCTATTAAAGGGTAATACGTAAAAAGAACAATCGCCTCCCCCCCCCCCCCGCCTCCATTAGATTTCAGGAGTTTGTTTATTTGTTAAAAACGACGGCGTTACTTCAGTAAAAAAAAGCCAACCCTGATTAGGAGTTAGGACCCTGTATACTGTTTCCGCACGTTTAGGTGACTTGCATCAAGGAAAGCGAAAGTGTTGAGCAATGAAAGAGTAAAAACATTTTCACGGGGATCTTAATTTAAACATTGAAAGCTTTAAATCGGATTAATAAATAATATTTCTCTAGGTTCTGACGTTGGCAAAAACATGCGAGCTAACAGAAGAAATAAGGTTAGAGATTGTCAAAATTTCTGTTTTTTTTCCCTCTTGCAAACCCCACCCCCCTGGAATTTTTTTTTTACAGAGAATTAGGTCAATTTTATGTCAAATTCATGAGCAGCTTGGGCGTGGAAGGTGGCCGGAAAATGTTTTATCAAGATTTTGATTTTTATAAAAACTAGCTGAAGGGCCCGGCGTTTCCCGTAGAAAAAAATTTAATTTTTTTTTTTAATTAAAAAGAAAATTTGAGAAATTTTTTAGCCTGCAACACCGCACGGCCACCCATGAGTGTCCACAAAAAATTTCAGCCCAATCGGTCCAGCCGTTTGGCCGGCTATACGCAACATATTTATATACGAATGTCTTGTTTTATTATATAGACATTCATTTTGAGTGAAAATGTGGCTCCGCAGGCAAAGGGGTTTTTGAATCTATTCTTAAAAATCAAAATTAAATGGCTAGTAGGTGCCTTTTCTCTCTTCTAGCGCTCCTAATTTTTCCAGGGGGTACGTCCCCCCTTTCCCCCCCCATAAGCCACCTCTGGTTTAACATTAATTTTTATTTCGATTAATGATGTACATTTCAAATTTTTTTTATATACATACATACAATATTAGTCAGGACTGTTTTAAATGATAGGCCCTACACAAAAAAATTACAAAAAATCTAAAGCAAAGAGAGTAAGGATCTTACTTTATTGGGCCAAACAAATATACATTTTAGATCCTTTAAAAATTTAAAAACTATTAACTTTGCATATTCTGGTAAAGAAGCTTACTGTCGTTTAACTTCTGTTTGAATTTTATGTGATAATAAAACATGGTTTGTGAGTTTAACAATAATTGTAAAACATTATTGCTTTTTCATTGGCCTTTTCTCAGAGATAGATAACGGATTTTACTAAATAATATGTATAGAAATAAATTAATCCCAATCTTTTAGAATTACGAACAAGCAACCAAAATTGGCTTTATAGCTATTCAAAGTAGTAGTTAGTAAACTTTGAATTTTTTTATTCTTATTTCTTAATTTCTTATAAGATTTAACTACCAAAGTATCATTGATCCAAACAAGAATATATTTCTAGATATTGCTCCCTTAACAATGATTTGTGATTTCTCTATATTTCTAGATATTGCACATATAACAAAGATTTGTATTGTATAGATATTGCTTCAACAATGATTTGTATCGTATAATTAGATAACTTGCTCTGGAAAAACAATGATTTATATTGAATGTATATTTCTAGATATTTCTTAAACAACAAAGATTTATATTGAATGTATATTTCTAGATATTGCTTAAACAACAAAGATTTATATTGAATGTATATTTCTAGATATTGCTTAAACAACAAAGATTTATATTGAATGTATATTTCTAGATATTGCTTAAACAACAAAGATTTATATTGAATGTATAATTCTAGATATTGCTTAAACAACAAAGATTTATATTGAATGTATAATTCTAGATATTTCTTAAACAACAAATATTTATATTGAATGTATATTTCTCGATATTTCTTAAACAACAAATATTTATATTGAATGTATATTTCTCGATATTTCTTAAACAACAAAGTTTGGTATAATATATATACTTGTAGAATTGTTTAAACAATACAGAATTGTTTTAATTTAAACAACAAAGATTGGTATTGAATGTATAATTGTAGATATCGCTTATACAACAAAGATTGGTAATGAATGTATAATTGTAGATATCGCTTATACAACAAAGATTGGTAATGAATGTATAATTGTAGATATCGCTTATACAACAAAGATTGGTAATGAATGTATAATTGTAGATATCGCTTATACAACAAAGATTGGTATTGAATATATACTTCTAGATATTGCTTATACAATAAAGATTTGCATTGAAGGTATATTTCCAGACATTGCTCTAACAACAAGATTTGCATTAAATGTATTTTTCTAGATATTATTAAAACAACAAATATTTGCATTGAATGTATATTTTTAGATATTTCTTAAGCAACAAAGATGGGTATTAAATGTTTATTTCTAGATATTGCTCTAACAACAACAATTTGTATTAAATGTAAATGTGTAGATATTGCTTGAACAACAATGATTTGTATTGAATGTATATTTTTAGATATTGCTTAAATAGCAAAGATTTGCTTTAAATGTATAATATAAAATATTGCTTAAACAAAGATATGTATTAAGTTTAATTTTCTAGATATTGCTCCAACAACGAAGATTTGTATTGAATGTATAATTCTAGATATTGTTCCAACCAGAGCAGAGGCGTACACAAGGGGGGGGGATATTGGGGCCAAGCCCATCTGGATCAGTAAAATCCATGGTTTCCTGGAGGTTTCGATAGAAAACAAGTTTAGCCCCCCCCCCCTGGACGAATTCCTTTGTACGCCCCTGGTTCCAACAACAAAGATTGTAATTGTATATATATATTTCTAGATATTGCTCCAACAACAAAGATTGTAATTGTATATATATATTTCTAGATATTGCTCCAACAACAAAGATTGTAATTGTATATATATATATTTCTAGATATTGCTCCAACAACAAAGATTGTAATTGTATATATATATATTTTTCTAGATATTGCTCTAACAACAAAGATTGGTCTATCCTAGCTCTCCAGAATATCAGAACAGGGAAAGCACATTATCTTGTAATCTGCCAGTGCCCTAAAGATTCTTCATTGGGTAAATTTTTCTATCTTTCCCAAATACAAAAATAGGCAAATACTGGGTTGTAAAGATTTAGGGAAAAAAAACAGAGTTTGTGGCAAAAGCTCAGTTCCTTTGTACGCTCTTTTTATAGCAATTAAACAAAACTTGCCGATCTGACAAGAAAAAGGATGATTTTGGTGCATTGTCCCGTTTAAAGGGACTGTAATCATAATTTTAATTGTGTCCCTTCATGCAAATATGTTAGTTTTCTGAATCAAAAAGTGTTTATTTCTGTCAACTTACTCTTCCTTTTTAGCAAGAAATACAAAAGTCACTTTTGCAGAGAATCCGCAAATGAAAATGTACAGTTTAAATAAACAAAAACTTGCACATTTCGTTAATACTTTATCAGACAAAACTTTCAGGGGCGTATTCAGGGGGGGCTATGGGGACTAAGCCCCCCCCTGGACCAGTGAAATCTATTGATTTCAGGGGGTTTTCAGGCCCCAACAGGTGCTGAGCCCCCCCCCCTTGGAAAGATAAAAAATTTAAGCCCCCCCTTGGACAATTTCCTGAATACGCCCCTGAAAACTTTTAATTGTATTGTTGCAAATTTGGCATTCCCATCTTTGCGCATGGAGAGTAACTTTAAATAAAGTTCCTTTAAAGAGAATTCAAGTTCATAGAAACCTGTAGTTCCGGTTTATTGAACCTAGCTCCGGGCAATATATCCGTTTATCAATTCCGGGTTTCTTAACAATAACAAACACTGATTAAATATGAGAAACAGACATGAAGGCGAGTTAAATTGACTAGTCTGTAAAACTCAAATCTTCAAATCCCTAAATCTTTGCAACATAGTGATATTAAGAAAGTGCTAAGTAAAGATAAAATAATAATTATGATGATTTTGAAAAAAATATGCTTTTAAAAATATCTTTTTTTTCTGTAACAGCTGTAGGTATTAAACAAGATTTACGAGTTAAAAATTAAATTTTTCAGAAGGACCTATTGCACAAACTGGAGCTCCCTACGCCCGGGTTCCTGGAATACGAGTTTACGGAATGCTCTGTTTAAAAAAACCATTCCGCCGCCGTGGAAAGGTTATGGCGGGATTCTCAAGTCCGAACTCGTACTTGGAAGATTTAGCCGAAAAATCTGACGTGCCAACCTTTCCAGCAATGTGGGAGAATGCCGCGAAAAAACTCAGTGAGTCGTGAAGTTTTCTGGTCTAAATAGCAGGCCTGATATAACGAGAAAACAGAGTCTCTGTAAACAAGATTACAAATCTGAAAGTAAAAGTAAAAGTTTGGACAAATTGTTTTTGTTAACCCCTATACGCTAGAGCTTTAAGGCTAGCCCAGAACAAAACGAGAAATCTCGATAACATGACATTTTTACAGTTTAGTTTAATCATTTTAAAATAGAGTATAGGATCTATACTCAAAGGAATTGAGCCTTTGCCTCAAATTCAGTTTTTGTAAAACCTATATCTTTGCAACCTTATGATGTAAACCTTTGATTTTTCAAACTTACATTATTTGATCCAATAGCATTCATAGTTTGAAATATTAAAGGTCTACGACATTGGGTAGCAACAATATTGAAATTAGAAAATCAGAGTTTGTGGCAAAAACTCAATTCCTTTCCCGNCTCCTTAGCGTTGTTGTATAGAATTGGGATAAGAACCAAGGTTGAAATGAATAATTATAAAGTTGCGCTCCTTAGCGTTGTTGTATAGAATTGGGATAAGAACCAAGGTTGAAATGTGCATTATATACCATTATCAGTTACAAAGAGAACAAGAAAACAATATAAGAAATCTGATTTTGGACAACAAATTCTTTTTTTTTACAGATTTCTTATTTTAAACACAATTTCTCTATAATAAGGTTTATTTTTTGTACTTTCTAGATTTACAATTGTAGTAAGTGTACTTGCAAGCTTGGTTTCAATATACATGCAATATAACAATTAATTATCAACGGCTCATAACATTTTACAATTTTTTTTACATAAACATTAAATTAAATTTAAAAAAGCTAATGTTTATAAATTTTCCATGTTTTTCTTTTTACCCAATCAAGGTAAATTAAGATTTTATTGGTAATTGTATTTTACAATTAACTTTAACATACAAATTAATTGTTTGACCTTATGCAATTATCTTTATTATCAAAAACCAGTTTCACTATTAAATAGCAGAATGAAAAATATGAAAATGGATTGCATTCATTTTCTACAATCTTTAGAAATCTATCTCATTTTTTATTTCTCATTTAGAGAATTTAGAAAGTAAATCATAATTCTCAAGGGAAGAGACATGTTACCATTCGATCCTTTTGAAATATGATTAGTCTATAATTTTTACATTTTTTATTGAAGAATAATATATGACCTTTTACAATATAAAGGATTTATTGTGACATATTAAATATATTTTTTTGCAATCCACTTTCAATTCGTCCTTTTGATAAATTGATTTAGCTTGATTGAAAGACGGTTTACGGATCACTGAATCACTTTACAGAAATTTATTACTTAAATCTCACAATAAATCCTTTCACTTTGTATTCAATAATATTCTATTCATCCTCCCCCCTCCTCTTTCTCCTTTTCACTTTCACCTATTTTATTTCCTTGTCCGAGTTTTGTACTTTTCCTCGCACAAACTTTGCATTATTTTGTTCTTCACCTCCTTGCCTGTTCTCCTGGTTGCTTCTTCCATGTTCTCCTAGGTGCTTATTCTTTCCTCCTTTCCTGTTCTCCTGGTTGCTTCTTCCATGTTCTCCTAGGTGCTTATTCTTCCCTCCTTGCCTGTTCTCTTGGTTGCTTCTTCCATGTTCTCCTATGTGCATGTTCTTCCCTCTTTCCCTATTCTTCTGGAATTTTGTTCTTCCCTCCTTCTACTTTCTCCTCTAATCTTGTTCTTTCCCCCTTCCATGTTCTCCTCGGTGTTTGTTTTTCATCCTTCCTTATTCTTTCCTCCTTCCCTGTTCTTCTGGTTGATTGTTCTTTCCTCCTTCCATGTTCTCCTAATTGCTTGTTCTTTCCTCCTTTCTTGTACTACTCGGTGTTTGTTTTTCCTCCTTCCCTGTTCTTCTGGTTGATTGTTCTTTCCTCCTTCCCTGTTCTCCTGGTTGCTTGTTCTTCCCTTCTTCCCTGTTCTCCTGGTGCTTGTTTTTTCCACCTTCTCTGTTTTCCTATGTGCATGTTCTTCCCTCCTTCTCTGGATTTTTGTTCTTCTCTACTTCTACTTTCTTCTGCGTCTTGTTCTTCCTTACTTCTCTGTTCTCTTGGTTTTCTGTTCTTTTCTTATTTTTACCTGCATGATTGCTTCCCTGTTCTCCTAACTTCTTGTTATTACCTCCTTCCCTGTTTTTATGATTTCATGTTCTTCACCCTTCCCTGTTTTCTTTTTCTTATCTCTTTCTACTGGTTTCCTGTGCATATTTGTTCCTCCTTCCACAATCTCCGTGCCCGAGTTCTCTACTACTTTATCGTTTATTCTTACTTTTTCCCTAATTCTTTAATGGCCAATAGATTTCCATTTCTCATGATTTCCTGATTCCTTATTCTGATAGTTGGAGTTTCTCCCCTAACTTCAAGTTCCTTGTTCTGACAGTTGGAGTCCCCTTACTTCAAGCTCTTTCCACATTCCTTGTTCTCCCCAACAAATATATATTTCTTGGTTCTCCCCTCCTCCTGTTTGTTTCCACTTCCTTTCAGGGGCGGATACAGGATTTAAGTGAGGGGGGGGGGGCAAGAAACTAGATATGAACAATATTATAACTTAAGTCTAGTTTCTTACAAATTTCTAATTCTAAATTTATCGTTAACAATAACATTTACTTGTTGTCGTTGATTTTTAAATTAAACTGAAGAAAAGAAAGTCAAGATTTCCATTAAATAAAAAAGCTTGAAATTGAAAAACACATACGATTTATAAAATTGGGAACATTTTTTGCCTCGAAATCTCAATACGCCCCTCCCTGAATCTGTCAGGGGGTGGCGAATGTCCCCCCGACACCCCCCTGTATCCGCCCCTGCTTCCTTTCTATTTATTTGTTTTCCAATGCTAGATTTTCTTCGTGTCTGTTCTCCTGGTTGCTTTCTTGTTCTTTTTGTTCAGATTGCTTTGCTCGGCTATTTCTTCCCTTCTCTCCTATATTCATAGACTCTGTATTTTCCCCCAGGTTTAACTCTTTTCTCAATTATTGAATACAATGCCTTTTCCAAACGTTGTAAAAGCAAATTTTTAGGAAATTTTTGACAATGCGTGTACGCGGTGAACGCGGTACGATGTCCGTTCATATATCTTTTAAATTAATTCTGTTAAATATTCATCTTGACATAATTTCCCTTCTCCTCCCGTTCCACTTTCCCCTTAAGCTGAGCCCCTGATGCAAGACGGGTGGGGTAAAGATTTTCGTCTTAATACGGTTGCATGAGAGATTTTAAGAACCTCCTTTGTTGTTAAATTTTAGTAAGAGAAAAATCATATTTAACCGGAAAATACAGAGAATAATTCATATCCTCAGTGTCATCTTGAAAAACAAAATTTAAAATTTAAAGCAGTTGAATTCAATAAACCTATTGTGAAATGTTGAATAAAATTATGATAAAATTGGATAAAAAATAGTTGATTGCTTTTAAAGGTTTCACAGTTTAGATATGGAACTTGATTTGCAACCAGATTGTGTAAACCTTTCATAGTTCAAACATAGATTATTCAATCTAACAGAATTCATAGTTTGAAATATCTATGGTCTTCGACATTGGTTTTATAATTTAATAGTTTGTGGCAAAGACTAAATTCTTATGAGAAAAAATCGGTAAATATAGGGCATGCATTATTTGATAGAAATCCAAGACAAAATCTATCTTCTTCGATAGGGTTTGCTGTTTAACCTACGTACTGTGTATTGCTCCAGTCGGAAGTGGATCTAGAAGATGGGGTGCGGGGGGCATAACATCCTGTTGGATGTATTGTATAAAACGCTGAATCCGTCATCTTGTGACAAAACCTTAAAAACCATGTTTTCAGTACTTCCGGTATGTTTGCCCGGGGCATCTGTAGCTTATCATCTTAATTATCTTGCTTTAATTACCTCTCACGTCAGGACATGTTAAACACCAGTACCACCTAGATAGGACATGTTAAGGACCAGTAACCTCTATTCAGGACATGTGAAGGACATCCAACACCTAGTCAGGACATTTTAAGGAGCTGTAATACCTAGTTAGGACATGTTAAGGAGCTAAAACACCTATTCAGAACATGCGAAGGAAATCCAACACCTAGTCAAGACATCCAACACCTTGCCAGGACACGTGAAGGACATCCAACACATAAACAGGACATATTAAGGACCTGTGCCACCTATTCAGGACATGTTAAGGACATACAACACCTTGTCAGGCCATGTTAAGGACCTGTAACACCTGGTCAGGACATGTAAAGACTTCTAACACCTGGTCATGACTTGGAAAGGACTTCTAACACCTAGTCAGGACATGTTAAGGACCTGTAACACCTGGTCAGGACATGGAAAGGACTTCTAACACCTAGTCAGGACATGTAAAGGACTTCTAACACCTAGTCAGGACATGTTAAGGACCTGTAACCCCTAGTCAGGACATGGAAAGGATCTGTATGTACCCATCTACTTAAACGTTTAAAGGACCTATGGGCTTCTATACCTAATTAGAACATATGAAGGACCTGTAACACCAACACCTAAAATAGGAAATGTAAATTGTAAAGGAAAAATGTAACCCGTTGGTATTTTTAAAGAAATGGGTCTGTGAACACTGCACAATTGCTGAGCTCCGTAATTTAGTGTTCATGGAACTAATCAACATCATAACTTAAAGGGAGCGTTCGCGAATAATGAATGGCTTAATGCGATAAAAAAGCGCTTTATGATCGCTACTAATCTTACTTATATCAGTTGCGTCTATAAGGAGAAAATTGTTAAAAACGACTCACACCGAAGAACGCAGTGTCCATACAAATTCGGCGCATTCGTATATAGTTAATATTTCATAAAATTTTTTATTTTTTCGCTGGCGCTGGTTTTTCGAACATTCTTGGAAAATATGAAAATGTCGTCTTCATTTTCAAAAATCCTCGAAACAGGAATAAATGTTTTCAAAAGTAACTCTCAGATCATGAAAAATACAAAATATTATGAAATATCAACTATTTACGAATACGTCGAAAAATGATCGATGACTATTGTCTGTAATATCTGAATGCTTTGTTTGGAATTAAGTTGATTGTTTACGATCAGAGTTGAATGTTACATCTTTCTGAATTTGTATGGACATTACGTTCTTCGGTATTAGTCGTTTTTAACAATTTTCTCCTCATAGACGCAACAGATAGAAGTAAGATCAGTAGCGATCAAAAGCGCTTTTTTATCGCATTAAGCCTATACCCCTTTCATTTTTCGCGAACACTCCTTTAAGTCGATCAGTCGTTTCGTATTCTATAGGTTTGTGGGTCCCACTTTAGGACATGACTTTTATTTAAATATTTTAATCACGGAACTTTAATTAATCTTCCATGCTCTCATTATGAAAAGTGCGTCAGTAAACATGTTTCGTTTTAAAACTCCTATTGTATGTATGATTCACAATGGTACAGCCTTTAATCCTTCTTTTGAGTCTGGATGACGTAGAAGTTTAGTTCCGGTAAAATGGGAGGTTAGTGTCTACTTAAAATTAAACGGCACTCGATTTTCAGGCTAAAAAGACCAGACAAGGTTTAAAGGGTTACCGTTCAGAATCGGACACGCCAATCAATTAATGGAGGTCACTTGAAATTTCGTCTTATAAAATCGTCCAAAATCAAAACTAAGTTTTTATTTTTGCTATTACATTGCATCAAACTATACAACTACAAGGTTTAATTGATTCCAGTTTTATTTCAACAACTTAAAAGTACATATCTTACATTGTCAAAAAATAATTTAATTTTAAGATTTAAATCTTATTTCATTAATATAACTAAAAATACTAGACAATTTTTATCATTACAATTCAATAACGGAATCATTTCAAAAACAGGATTAGATTAACTAGTTGACTTAAAAGGATTTCTTCCAAGAAAGAAAAATCTTGCCTAGATTATTTACAATAATTGGCTCACGTAACCGCATTATTTACAATCTCCTGCTGGATTTGGACAAAGGAATTGAGTCTTTGTCACAAACTCTGATTTTCTAATCACTATATCTTTGGAACCAAATGTTGTAGACCTTAGATATTTCAAATTATGAATTCTGTTAGATCTAATAATCAGAGTTTGAAATATCAAAGGTTTACAACATCGGGTTCTAATGATATTGGGGTTTAAATATTTGATTTTGTTACAAAGACTCAATTCCTTTCTCTTCATTAAGTATTAAAATTCATAACGGAAATGGTCTAAAACTACTTAAGACACAAAAAAAGATTTACAGGTTTTCTAAACATAAAAATATAATAATGTTGTTAATATCATTTAAGCTCCTTGGAGACTTGATTTAGATTAAAATTCTAGGATTTTTGGATCGTTAGGTTCTGAGTAGAGTTTTCTTTTCTTCCTTTGCAGCTCAGGGTTCCTGGGTTCCAAAATATTCTATTCTTTATTCGATATTTTTGGCAAATGGTTTGAGTAACCAAGGAATTGAATATTAGCCGCAAACTAGAATTTTATATTCCAAATACCTTTGCATCCTGATGTATAAACCTTTGATATTTCAAACTCAAAATATTTGATCTAACAGAATCCATAGTTTGAATTATCTAAGGTCTATGATATGCAAAGAAAATCAGAGATTGTGGCTAAGACTGAATTCCTTTAATTATTTTGTGCTTTATGAATATAAATACTTTTTCTTATAATCGTGTTTCAACGAAAGCAACTGGTCTCCGCCCACTATGATTTGAAATCCTTATACTTTGAAACCTGATACTATTAGACTTGCAATATTTGAAATTATGAACTCTGCTAGTACAAATTGCCAACATTATAAATATAAGATTAGAAAGTTGGAGTTAGAGGCAATTGTTCAGTTCTTTTAATAAAAAGTGTTCTCTTATTATTTTTTTCTTCTCATAATTCTTTAGTTTGTAAATTTTGTTGTAGAAATCTTAAAACTTTTAAGGGATCCTATTTGTCCCTTAACACCCTTAAGCATTGCAAACTTTGGCTTCTAAAGAGCTACAATTAACGTTTTTGAGGTTTAAAATATTTAGTTTTATTAACGAAAAAGCTATAAAATGAATATCAATCCTGTCAGTTTCGGTGTCTGGTCCTGAAATGGTTTGTGAGTCCCCTGAGTTGAACTGAAAGTCTGATGTTTGACCTAGGTATATAAATACATGTTTTTAACAATTTAACAACAATAATGTCATTCAGGGATTTCAGAGGGTAAATATTTCGTAAAAAATCATTACCCCAATTAATTAAGGATTTTTTTAAAAACGCCCAGCTGCGGAAAAATCATGATTTTTTAAGGCCAAAAAGTATCAAAAAGGGGAAAAACAGTTAAAAGTCCAATTTCGCAATTTAGAATTTGTAAAACGCTTGAAGTGAAAAGTTTTTAAGGCGGAAAAGTATCAAAAGGGGAAAACTTGGGGATTTCGTAGGTATCTTATATTTCATGTACCCTTGGTTTCTCCTGGAGATATGTACATCTTCTCAACCTTTGGTAGAGTAAGATCTGAGACCAAATTTAATAAATGGCTATGCAAAATTTAACCTGGATTTAACATTTCGGTCCTGAGCAGCAAGAGCTGTGACTTTCGATCACAATATGAACTGTTTCACAAATTTTATAGCAGTTTACATTTTTAACGTTTTGGTCGTCATATGCGTTTAAATGTATCTCCTTTTGTTAAAATATTGTTGATTTTTCGACCAAAACGTGATTTAAACGTGGTTGGTCCGGGGACTAAGTTGAATCACTTCTCTTTCACTTGAGAATTGGTTTAACTATGTCAATGTAACTCAGCCAAATTTCGCTTTTTATTAAATATGGTTCCTGGACAAGCATCTCCGAATAGTTGAGCTGCAGCAGCAAACATCCCTCCTCCGCTGTATCTAGGTTTAGAACTCTGACCTAGATAAAGAAACTGATTCCTCTCCTATATCTAAGTTTAGAACCCTGGCCTAGATAAAGAAACTGATTCCTCTCCTATATCTAGGTTTAGAACCCTGACCTAGATAAAGAAACTGATTCCTCTCCTATCTAGGTTTAGAACCCTGACCTAGATAAAGAAACTGATTCCTCTCCTATATCTAAGTTTAGAACCCTGGCCCAGATAAAGAAACTGATTCCTCTCCTATCTATGTTTAGAACCCTGACCTAGACAAAGAAACTTAAAACTCTAATAATACCCCCTCCATGAAGATAAAGAAACTGTTTATAACTATTGTGTTTTTACGATTTAAAGTTCCCAAATGAAATATCTTAAAAGATCGGGTTACGAAAATAACGAAATTTTAAAAATAGAGTTAGAGGCGAGTAATAATTTCATTTAATAGATGTTTCATGGATCAAGCACTATTTTGTTATGTAAATATTATGTTTGTCTAAGCTCTGTAACAATGAAATTACAGATTGAGATACAGGGTTAGCAACAAAGTATGATACGTTGCACAATTATTTTTTTTCTTTGTAAGTCACGTTGTATTTATTCATTTTACAAGGTTATTTTGAAGGCTTTTTTTAATTAAACCCTAAAATTAGTATTTTATAGCTTGTCCATTAATTCAAATCATTCGAGCAAATTAAGGATTTTGTTTCAACATTTTAACAGTTCGACAATAAGATTTAAAAATTTCTCCACTTTCGTTTTTTTTACAATTTTTAAGTTGATTGAAGGAAATTAATGAATTTTAAAGGATTAACTTTTTAATTTACAGAATCAACACACCTTTGTTTCCATGTCCGCTTTTACGTTTCATTTCAGCCCTGTTTATTTCCGATCTTAGACTACTTGTTGAAGGATCTCCTCTGCTAAACTTTGAGCCTGGATCCCCCAGCGAATTATCCACGAAACTGTTAAAAAATCCGGGAATTGAACCCTTGGCCATTGGACCAGGGACCTTCATTGGCGTGTCTTCTCTTCTCAATTTCTGAAATAAATAAAGTAATTAAATAATAAAAATTGACACCTGACTGATTCCTTGATGACTTAAGACTCAAAGTTTCCAGAAAAAAGCACTAAGAGTTGTCCAAAGGGATTTTTTTTATTCCAGACCTTCTAATTATTGCAATCTATCAAATACCTTACGACTTGGTAATTCCGATTCGTCTGGAAAGTTGAACGTTACTTTCTTCATGGCAGAACTTGGTCTAAAACAAACCAAGAAAATGATTAATTTTTTTTGTTCCAAAAAACTTAAATGGCTGTAAATAGAAAATATCAAATATAAAATTAACATTATCTAGACGTCCTAAGAAATTACGAGTAAGGTTTCAATGGACACTTTTGTAGGTAAGTCTTTAAAGAAAATTAGTCCTAACCTGCTAATACCGCTATTATGAGCACTATGGGAGTTACTATCGACTGAAGATAAAACAGACTGTTCTGATTTGTAAATATTTTCTCTTTTTCTTTCATTCTGGTTGTTTTCCGCATAATTAGAGATGGCTCGTTCCAACTCCAGCATATTCTGAACTTCACTTTCTTCGGAGCTCTTAACTGAGGAGTCTTCTTCCTCCCTTGAGGTCGTAAACTTATCCGTCCTTGCTGGTGTCTGTTCTTCCCTTGAAGTCCTGCTTCCCATAAGACCTGATATCATTCCCTTCCTTATTCCGTAATAAGAATTATCTTTCTCCCTTCCGGGTTGTTCAATGCTTCTCTCTTCTCTCCTATCTGATGTTCTGATTACTCTCATCCCAGACAAATCATATCTGTTTCTACTCAACTGATCATTCATCATGCTTCCTTCAGGACTGTTCTCTGTTCCTCCAGATATATCATTCTGTCTTGAAATGAGACTTTTACTAGGAGACTCTTTGGGATTTCTCCAGTCCTGAGCATGCAGTTCCTTCTGGTTTAAATCCTTCCAGTATCTTTCTAGACCATGGATATCGTTGTTAGATTTATCAGTGGTTTCATTTAAAAATGATCTTTGATCTACGGGATGGTCAGTTTCTTCTCTATGTCCCCTGAACCCAGAATGTCCGGAGATCAGTTCTTGTTCCCTATTCTGAACTTGCATGTGTCCCCGACCCAAACTAGTTCCCCAGCTGTATGGGGAACCTGAGGCTTGAGGAACCTTGAACAATCCTGGGGTTTGATCACCTCGGTTCCCATAAGAGAATTCATCCTTACACAGAGAATACTAATAGATAAAAAAGAGAAGTCAATGCGAGGTCAAGATCCAACACAGCAGAATATAGCTTTGTTAAATCCAAATTTTTTTAATTAAAGAGTAAACAGCATTTAAGTAAAGAGTACCGTTATAAATCCTTGCTACTTTTTTTTAACTTGGAGTCACTTGAAATTACGGTAACAGTACATTTTACAAAGAACATTCAAACAAAAGATAATATTTGATGCGAGGACAATCTAACTTAAAATGTATTTCTGCCTGACGCACAATGTTTTCTGCACTATTGTCAGTTTTTCGGCTGGATTCTTCCATTCTGCACCTAAAATACGACTTTTTGAGCTCAATATGGGTCATTTCATAGACAGGACGTTTTACAGACAGGATTTTCATAGATAGGACATTGCATAGACAGAGATATTTTTCATAGAAAAATAAAATTTCTTTCTAAATCATCTATATATAAATTTGGCTTGTCTGTCTGTTTGTTTGTATCCAATAAACGTGAAAACGGCTGAACCGATGGGGCCCAAATTTTTTGAGGGACATCTAGGGACCCCAGGGAAGGTTTATGAATGATCCAAATTTCAAATATTTGTCTCCAACAAAATTCGATCGTCATTAAATTTTTGAAAATTTTGAAAATCTGCGAACTTTTGTGTGAAAATCCGCGAATTATTTTTGTTTTGTTTTACGATGTACACAAAGAGAACATGTTCATAATTAATTTATAAGATGGGCGCGAAGCGCCCTCTAAGGCTAGTATCTGATAAATCATACTTTGTTCTTTCTACGATCTCTCTTTGATTTTTACTTCACACTGCTTAGGATCCGGATCCGTTGCAGCTGCAACATTTTGGATTCCTGGATCCGGATCCACAAAAATATGGAGATCCGCGGATCCGGATCCAAGGGGCAAAATATCTATCAAAAACTGTTAAAAAAATCTTTTACTCTTAAAAACCAAGTATAAACTTTCAAAAAAGAGACATCAAAATTTTTCTAAACGCTGAATGGTTCATCAAGTTTAAGCATTAAAGTAAGCAAATTTTTTTTAATCAGAAATCTTTGAGAAATTTGCATGACCTGGATCCGGATCTGGATTTTGATCCTTTTTCCCATTGCGGATCCGGATCCGCATCTAAATTAAATGGATCCTATGCACTGCTTACAAGGTTCAGAATTACAGGTAACAATTCACCTATTTTGTTTATCAAACGCTTCCCTGAGCCTGAAATTATCTTCCATATTCTTCTTCCGGATCAAGTTCAGTTCATCCAGATGCTCTTTCTTCATCTACACCCATTCAGTTAATACTTACTTTCCTCATTTAAAAATTGGATTCACAAAAAAATGAAATTTTTCCTCCCAAAACTAATTCTGTTCTAAGATTGTCAGGCTTTATTCTGGTTTTTACTTCATATATAAATAATATAAAATAGTAAAAAAATATTATAATAAAAATAAAATGATGATTAAAATAATGTAACTAATTCCTTCTTATTTTTCTCCTCTTGCTCTGATAGTCTGCTGATAAGGAGGGATTTCTCACTGCTCTCGAAATCCATGTAGTTAATCTATGTAATTTTAAAAGCTCAATGCCCGATTCCCTGCAGTACCCTTATAACACTCGACAGCGCAAAAAAATTAAATAAAATAAAAAATTCAATACAATATTGTTGCCCAGATAAAAAAGCTGTAATGGGCCTGGTGAATATCGGCATGCAATTTTTAATGACTGGATGGGGTTAATTTTCATTAAAAGTTTGTGGTTTAATAGCCACTAGTCTGTCTAATGTCTAATGTCTATTGTCTATTGTCTATTGTCTATTGTCTATTGTCTATTGTCTATTGTCTAGTGTCTAGTGTCTACTGTCTACTGTCTACTGTCTACTGTCTACTGTCTAATGTCTAATGTCTAATTTCTAATGTCTAATGTCTAATGTCTAATGTTAAAATTTAATGTCTAATGTCTAATGTCTAATTTCTAATGTATATTGTCTATTGTCTATTGTGACAATAGACAATAGACAATATTTGTCTATTGTCTATTGTCTGATGTCTAGTGTCTAGTGTCTAGTGTCTAATGTCTAATGTCTAATGTCTAATGTCTAATGTCTAATGTCTAATGTCTAATGTCTAGTGTCTAATGACTATAGTGTCTACTGGGTTTTCCTTTTCCACGCATTTTCCATGTTCTCAATCTTCTGTTGGAACTGTCTCTGAACCTGAGCTATGCACTCAGCATTCTTCTTCTCCTAGAGGAAAAACAAAACATTATTAGAATAATAGACAGTAAGCAGGATATTTTCTGTATATTTTTTTAACGGAAAGAATATAAAAATAACCACCCCAGTGGGGGGTCGAATGCTCCGAGAATTTTTTATTTTTTAATGGCCAATGGTCATCGAAAGACAAGTTTTTTCACTCATTTTGATTTTGTTTACACAATTTCTTTTTATTCTCCCCAATTTAGCGTTAATCCATAAACATAACCAATATCTGGAAAAAGATGCGTAAACCTCTGAAATAACTTTCCTTGCATTACAACCTTGATTTGAAGTATCGGACCGACCACTAGGTTATTCTAGAAAGGAATTGAATCTTTGTAACAAACTCTGATTTTCTAATACCTATATTTTTTCCACCTGGTGGTGTAAACCTTTGATATTTAAAACTTAGATTTTTTCATCTAACAGAATTCATAGTTTGAAATATCTAAGGTCTACAAAGATATAGAGATTAGAAAATCATAGTATTTTGACAAAGACTCAATTCCTTTGTAAAATATACCCGACAAATTATTCCCCTCAGAAGAGATAACGTTATCCTAGTTCTAACCTGAAGACTCTTCTCCAGGTTTAACATGTTCCTCATTTCTTTATGCTTTCCTTCAGTCCCTGATCTCAGCTCAAGCAACTCAACCTCCCTATATAGTTAATAGGTAAAAGACGGGAAGGACGAAATGAATCTATGAACACAGAAACATGATATAACACATAATTTAGATATCCAGAAAATGTTTTGAAACATTTAAAATAAAAACCCGTTTAAAAAAGTGAAAGGATGTGTGTTCATAATTCTAATGCAAAATTGGTGCACAAACCAACACTTGATCACACAATAAGTTGTTACAAATTCAGAAAGAAGCAAAATTCTATTAATATAAACCTTTTCTCTAGTTCAGATTTTAGGCGCAACTCCTCCCTCTTCAGCTCCGAGATGTTGAGCCTAGCATCAGGGAGCCCGGTGAGCTGGGAACTCAGTTCTTTAACCAGCTCAAGAGAATCCTTTAGTTCACCTTCAGTCTAAATAATGACTACAAGTTGACCTTAAATATTTACGTTCTGACACGAAAATCGATCCGGATTTGGCAAACTATTAAATCTTTAAACAACCGCTATAGAAGCAATTAGAAATATTGTTGTCCAGGCCACAAACAACAGGATTGGTTTGGTCAAACCAAAGAAAATTATTGAATCGTGGATATCGAGATCAAGGAAAGTTCCCAGCTCTGTAAACATTTCGTTATAGTCGTGCATCATCCATTCTTCTTCCCTGCAATTTTCTCTCCGACCCAAGGTACTAATGCAAGGAAAGTTATTTCAGAGGTGTACGCATTTTTTGTACTCCATTGTACTGTCTTTAGGAGGAAAAGTAAACACAAGACAGATGCCACAGCCTGACATGGAATCCATTTTCACAAAAATAATTTATGAAATATTCTAGTCGTAGGAAACTATTCTGTGAATTTTCACTATTAGAAAAATTAAATGCTTTTATCTTCCTCGGATACTAGACGAACACTGGTGCATCTATTCTTGTTTACAAATTCCGCCCGGAGAGAACTGGTTTCAATATGTACGCGACCGCAATGAACTTTCCTTGCATTAGTACCTTGCTCCAACCTAACGATGTTTTTCAAAGTATTATCATTGGAAAAATGCATTAAAAGTATCAAGTCAAGAATTCAATGTTTTATGATATGGAAGGAAGACGTCCTTTTAAAATTCAAAATGTTTATCCTTTTCTCCCTCATAACAATACATCTTAGAATTTGATTTAAGTAGTTTAGTAATTTTAAATTTTTTAGTACTGCGTTTAAAAACTAACATTGTGAGAAATTCATTGGTAACTATTTCTCCAAGATAGACACGTCAATATTACCAATATTTATTAATAATGTGTGTTGTGCAGGGATATTAATATTTTGTTAACAAATACCCTCGCCCCCACACATAAAAAATCGTGTTCCGGTACATCAGGATGTCTGCGTGGAGAGGTAGGGAACCCCCGGACGTCATGAGCCTCCGCTATGCAGACACGAGCCTCCCAGATTTGCTAGGCAGACCGAGCCTTCACTATGAAACCAAACCTCCGTTATGCAGACAATGCCTCAGCTATGCAGCTTAAACGAGTCTACACCAGACAGCACTGCTGCTTTATTTAAAAAAATTTTATTTCATGTGAAAAATTTTAAAATTTTTTTTGACGTAGTGACAAGAATTTTACAGAAGATTGAAGTTATTTATTGATTGTCATGATTAGAAACATATATGGACTCATAAAGTGGTTTATATGATTTATTCTGAAACAAAGCATTTCTTTCTTGTTGTGATTTAAACAATACCTTTTTTGAAAAATTTTAAGATTTAAATAAATGATATTAATTTTCTATAATTAATTTGAACTACAAAAAAGGTATTGCTTAAATCAAAGATTATAAAAGATGAAATTCAATTCAATTCAAATTTTTTTCTCTTTCCTTTTTGTGTAAAAAATGTTTAAAGTTTAATATACAACTTTATCAGTCATAATTAGACACTATTTATGATAATTGACAAATACTTCTCATATTTGAGAAAACTCCCATGTCACTATGTCAAAAAAAAATGTAAAATATCTTTTATTTAAACTTGAAATTTAAAAAAAACCTCCTGTATTACACAGGCACATTTTGATGTATTGAGTATGCTTATTACAGCATAGCTGAGGTTTGGTCTGCCTAACAAATCTGGAGGCTCATGTCTGCATAGTGGAGGTACATGGCGTCCAGGGGTTCCCTCCCTCGCGAGGAGAGCAGTTTTTCTCTAGTTTAGTGTGTATACTGTATACCTTATAAAGTTTATCCTCTAGAAGACTATGTTTAGTTTTCAGATTTGAGAGAGAACGTTTCTCCTCCTCCCTCTCCTCCAACATTAATCTCCACTCCATAGAGAGCTTCTTCATCTCAACCAACACATCCTCTATCTCAAGATCCAGGTCATCAGACATATTATCTATCTCAGAGAGAGAGAAATTACGAAATAATGAGATTACAACAGTAAACAAAGATTAGGATCAATCTTCTAGCGTAATTACAAGTGACCCTCCATGCGAGGGAGAGAACCTCCGGACGCCATGAGCCTCCGCCATGCAGACACGAGCCTTCCAGATTTTCTAGGCAGACTGAATCTCTGCCAGGCCATGCAGTTAGAGCCTTTGCTATGCAGTAAACTAGCCTCCGCTTTACAGCACAACTTCCTTTTATCTCTTGGTTTTACATGTAATATAGAATTTTTTTATTTTTTTTTATCAGCATAAAATGTCACAAGAATATTCTTTATGATTAATGTTGCTTATTGATTGTCATGACTTGTAACTGATTATGACTCATTAAGTGGTTTTAAGATTTATGTTTTACAATAAAACCTTGTGAACCATATCCCTAAAATTTCCCCTGTTGTAAGGTCGTCTCCGACAAACTGTACCTCCGTTAAATATACTCCGTCAACTCACCAAACCAAACCTTGCCAAGGATTTTGCATAAACGTAAACAATAACCTCATGTAGCTAATAAAACTTTAATTGCATTAAAAGAACCCATTTAAACATAATTTCAGTGAATCATTTGCAATCAACAGTGAACTTATTTAACCAGACGAATTTATTTTCAGAAGAATTAAAATTGCTTTAGACTTCAATTCAAACAACTTTTCAACCTAACACAGTTTTCTAGATTGTAAGTTCCATTCACAACAGTGCCTTTTAAACCTTTTATTTATCGATTCACAACAGTGCCTTTTAAACCTTTTATTTATCGATTCACAACAGTACCCTTTAAACCATTTTAAACCATTTATTTATCGATTCACAACAGTACCTTTTTAAACCTTTGTTCTATTCTCAGTGGTACATATTTTTTTTAACCAATTGTTCGATTTACAACAATACTCATTTATTTATAATTACACACAACTGTTTAATCTTCATTAACAATCGTTATTTATATACATGTACGTCAATAACAATTTGTATTTTTGTAGGAAACCTCGTTACTGAAATATACTTTTTTCAAGAAGTTATCATCTATCTGTGTCTGGTAGAAAAGAGTGTTTTCCTTGCCAACTCGCCTTTCCCTCTTTCGAGTATTATCCCTTTTGTTCAGCTCACAAACATATCTTACGCAGTAAGGAGACTATTTGGAAGTTAATTTCTGAATTGAACGTAAAGTTTATTTTGTTCTTATCTTTGATTTAAGCAATCTTTTTTGCATTTTTTAAAGATTAAAATTGTTTGTCAATGTCATATTTTTGATTATCTTACTCTGATTAAAAGTTCAAAAAAAGGGTATCGCTTCAATCAAGGCTTACAAAATATCAAATAAAATTACTTTCAGACTTTTTTCTCAAAATGTTTCAATTTTTGCGCAAAAAAATGTTTTAAGTTTAAAAACCACTTTACTAGTCACAATTAGTCACTATTTATAATAATTGATTAATACTTGTAATCTTTAATACACTTTTTGTGCGACTATTTCGAAAAAAATACAAAAAATTCTATACTACATGTAACAACCATGAGTTATCAGGAAACTATTCTTAATAGCGGAGGCTCGTTTACTAGCTGAGGCTCTTACTGCATGGCGGAAGTAAATCTGGGAGGCTCTTGTCTGCATAGCAGGGGCTCAAGGCACTCGGGGGTTCCCTCCCTCTCCATGCAATTATGACAATGTCCGATTTATATTGGTACTATTAAAAAATTTGCCTGATCAAGTATTAATTAGATATCAACGTTAGTAATTTCAAAAATAATTATTTTCGATTGTGTTTTCTGTACGCGGAGGTGACTTTTTCCTACCACAAGAACATTACAGGAATTAAACACATAAAACTACCAAAACCTTCACATTATTATTGAAGGATTTACGGTTACTTGCTAAATTTGGGGAACCAAATGAATTTCAGTGAAAAAAAATGAATTATCAGTAAAAATAATGAAAAAGATTACTAAAAACGTCAGATTTATCCAGCAGGACTGTAGTTCAAAATATCAAATATTTTCGAAATACGTCAGGATTCTCAGGATAAGAAAATTTGAATTCGAGGTTCCAATAAACCCAAATATTTAACTATTTAAAATATTTCGATCGAATGAAAGTAAAAAAATTAGATCCCGAGATGCATCTCCACTATTTTGTTTAATAATGAGATCTGCAATCTAGGTTCGGTATTTCCGGGAAGGTGAACTCGGTGAACAGTACATATCCCGATAATATTAAATTAAAATTTCATATGTCACAATAAAATATATAAAATGTTGCCATTCAGCATCTAGAATAAATTAATTAACCAAGAGTCCAGGAAGTTTGATATCTTCAAGAGATTAGGTAGAGTACAGGAAGGTTGATATCTTCAAAGTAGACTAGGAAGAGTACAGGAAGGTTGATATCTTCAAAGTAGACTAGGAAGAGTACAGGAAGGTTGGTATCTTCAAAGTAAACCAGGAAAATTACAGGAAGGTTGGTATCTTCAAAGTAGGAAAAGTACAGGAAGGTTGATATCTTTAAAGTAGACCAGGAAAATTACAGGAAGGTTGATATCTTCAAAGTAGACTAGGAAAAGTACAGGAAGGTTGATATCTTCAAAGTAAACCCGGAAAATTACAGGGAGGTTGATATCTTCAAAGTAGACCGGGAAAAGTACAGGAAGGATGATATATTCAATGTAGATTAGGAAAGTACAGGAAGGTATAAAATCTTAAAAGTAGATTAGGAAGAGCACAGGAAGGTTGATATCTTCAGTAGACTAGGAAGAATACAGGAAGGTTGAAATCTTCAAAGTAGACTAGGGAAGTGCAGGAAGGATCTCCATTGTGGACTGGGAATAGTACAGGAAGGTATAACATCTTCAATGTAGATTAGGAAGAGTACAGGAAGGTTGATATCTTCACGATAGATTGGAGAGAGTACAGGAACGTTTATATCTTCCCAGAGATTAGGAAGACTACAGGAAAGTTAATATCATCAATGTCGTTCAAGAGTAGTACAAGAAGGTAGAGTTCTTCATGAGGACTAGAAAGAGTACAGGAAGGTTGAACTTCATGGCCTACTAACAAGAGTACAGGAAGGTATATGTTAAGAGTACAGTCCAAGATTTATATCTTCAAGGTAGACGATGATAAACCGGAAGATTGATATCTTCTAGGTAGACAATGAAGAACAGAAAGATTGAAATCTTCTAGGTAGACTTTGAAGAGTACAGGAACGTAGATAACTTCAAGGTAGACTAGGAAGTAATCAATATAGATTAACAAGTACAGGAATGTAGATATCTTCGCGGTGGACTAGAACCAGTACAGGAAGGTTGATAACTTCCAGGTAGACACGGAAGAATACAGGAATGTTAATAACTTCAGGGTAAACTAGGAAGAGTACAGGAAAGTTCATATTTTCAAGGTAGACTAGGGAGAGTACAGGACGGTTGATGTCTTCAATGTAGGCCGTGGAAAACACCGAAATTTTCGCCGTTTCCAACTCGTACGCATTTTGTCTAAATACTTCTTATCACACAAAAAATACTTAGGTATTAAAACAAATAATTTGGCGTATATTTAGATATATTTTAGTTTAAATTACATGGATCGAATCGATTAATATAACATTTCTAGATTAGGATCTGGACAAAATCAAGATCCACTGAAAAAATCACTATAATCCATTCTCAATAGGGATCACACGATCAATCTATACACGGTGATCAATGTTACACCGGAGTTTACAGACAAAGAACGAATTTTCATCTGTTGTGGGCTTCCACACAACCCAAGAGTTGATATTTTCCAAAATGAAATCGGAAAATTTTATCTTGAAAAATAATCAGTCCCTTGAACTCCCTTCAGTTTATAATAACCCCTTACTATTCGATTATGCGAAAGCGAGGATAATGTTCTGAAAATGCGAGTAAATAATCTTCGGTTAAATATAAAATAACTCGCATCATGCACAAACCAATATAAATTTACCAAAACGAAATGACATTAACATATGCAAGCATGGTTTAATACACAGCTTGAAAATTAAGAATTTTGTAAAAACCTGAAAGTGTCTTGAGTAGTAAATCTATTGCTCCCAAAACCCAAAGAAAACTAGGGATTACGACTAAAAAAATATTGTTTTTGGATTAATAAATAAAAAATTGAATGATCTTGTTACAAATCGTGGAGAATATTCATTTTCAAAGGATCTTTTTACAGTTAAGATCCTGCTTAGCCTCCGCTCCACCAAGGTACTCTGGAATGTATCTAGACGTAAAATTTCTGTTTCTTGTTGGAGCCAGCCTTGGCCTTCTCCTCGTTATGAATGTTGAACCCAATCTTCTCACTGGGATCTATCCCCAGCCTCTCTTTCAACATCTTCCCGATCCTTGTGATACTGTCGGGTTGAGATGCGTCCGCCAACCAAACCGCCAGCTTGTCACCCTTGGATCGCACATTCACAACCGCTCCGTTAACCTAAAAATAGAAAATAAATAATATTTGTAAAACGCGGTTTTAATTTCCCACGAAAAAATATTAGAATCAGACTGAATAAAAAACAGGATTCGATCCAATGAGAGTGGCCCCTGTCGAGTTTTCGTCCTAAGACGATTTCTCACATCACTTTGCTTTGAGTAATCTGGGGCAAAGCATGCTTTGCTCCAGAGGAGCTCTACGCTCTGACTCTTTCAGCCCAAGCTCCAGGGAACTTCCTCAGAATATGAAAAACTCCGTGGTGAGACTTCACTGGATCAATATCAACTGTTGTGAAATTTCAGTCATCACATTAATAATCTTAACTCTGGACTCCAGAGTCTAGAGCCAGCCAAAAAATTAATTATTGTTGGAAGCGGGGCAAGGGAACTTTTCATCAAAGCACGTTTTGAAGTAGAAATAATGCTGGGGTAAAAATAAAAATAATTTCCAAGATAGTTTTCGATTTAATGCTTTCATTTGTCTCATCGCGTCGGGGAAGTAAATAGATAAAAAAAACAGTGAAATTTAAACAATTTTAACGAAATTATATTTAAAGCAGTCGAATTTTCATTTTTCAAAGTTCTTTTTTTTTCAAATAAAAAGCCCAAGTACCTGATGTGCATGCTGGTCGGCATGTTCTCCGATCAAGAAGAAGAGTATCTCCAGCCAGTAGTTGTCAAGGTGTTCTGCTCTCTGTCGTTTATCCAAGTTAATAATCCACCTTCCACCGTTCAGATTCCTGAAAAAAAATTTATATTATTTTGTTAGTTTACATTTTGAAAAATACCTCCGATTACATTTAATGTATCCTGACACTGATCTAATTGTAAAGAAGGGACTGAACGTGAAGTTTTAAGTGACAAACACGACAATGCCAGATTCACAAAGGTATCCTTTAAAGCTTTGTCTTGATCAATAATGATTTAGATGTCTCGGTATTTAAATTTAGAAAACGTATTATTCTCACATCACAAGAACTTAATTCATGTTTGAAAAATTTAGTATATAAGACTTGCGAAATACTAGTAATAGAGAAGAGGAAATCTTAAAAATTCCTAAGAAAAATCAAAAAATAATCAAACCAGAGGTAAAAAGTTCTCATTTAAGCCAAGGGGTCTAAGTAAATATAATAAACGAATTGAGGTATCCCACACCATATTATGTTTAACATCGTAAATAGCTGTAAATATCGATTATCGGGAATTTATTTATAAATTATTACCATCTTGAGAAAAAGCTTGGAAATATTTTAACATGATATGGGGCCACTCTGTATTGACTCTGAGCCCTAGTAAAAGTGCTAAAACTGACCAGGACTAACAAAGGATAAGAAAAATATCTAAACCCTTGTTACAATGAAGAAAAAACGTTTCTTATGACGTGTAATTCAACCATGCAGTAAAAGGAAAATTACCTTTTATCCTCCCAATCAGGGAAAATTCCTTCCTTAAAAAGAGAATAATCTGAGCCAGGCGGAAGTCTACTTGCAACCTCTATATGGTTATACAACGACCAAAAGTCCTCTACTGTATTCACTGTAATGATGGCTTTCTGGTTCTCCTCCCAGGACCTGGCCTTGTCGTTCTTAAAGAACCACAAGGTCCAGGCGTTCTGAAGGGGATGCTTCACAACCTTTTCAGGACCATTCAAACAGATCTCAGACTCGGAGATTTTCACTTTGTCCATCTGGTCGACGATATCACCCATCTTGTCCAACTTCTCAACGGTCTCGTCCTCGTAGTGGTTTGTCATCCTGGTCTCTATAGCAACTGAGGACATAATCTGGAATCCAGACCTAAAGTAAAACCGGCTTTGTTCTTCTCTTATACTTCAATATCTGTTATGGAGTATAGCAGGTTTCTTAGTAGACTGATACTCTGGACTTTCCCAATCGTAGGTAAACGTTTTGTCACTGGGAAAATGGCGGCCGGCACAATGATGATGCAACTACAGAAAACTGATACTGTCCCGGCAAAATATTTAATCCGTCACAAGTCTTTCCGACGGATTTGCTTCTCCAAAGTTTCTAAATCAGTTTAATGTAAAGATCTCGTCCAGTCTTCAGCCACAACCACCAAACAAGCAGAAACAGGAACCTTCTACTTTTACGCCAACTCACACACCTACTAACACCGTGATAACTGAGGTCACGTGACTCAGTATTCTCTATCCGGTTTCACCATGTTCGGGAACAGAGCAGCAGACATTAATTCGTAGTTAGAAAGTTGGGAATTTTCTTTGTTACGGGTGTGTTCTTTTTGTGATCGTTTCTTTGTTATTTTATTGCGTGATTTTCATGACATGATTTTTTCCTTCTTTTATGCAAATTGTTTTTCGCATTATATTCTTCCAAAATGCAAAATTATATTATATCTTTTTCTAAGACGACATTTTCAATGCGTATTTGATGATTATATTATATTACATAGAATACATCCGTATTCAGTATTATAAAGGATAGTTATACAATTTACATCAGATTGCAAACAATCAGACAAAGGTAACATACGTAGAATTGTACGCACATATCCGTTTTACGTAGTGCGTATGTGACTATATTGAACTAGATACATGAGTCTTTCAGGGCGACATAATGTATATCTCTTGTGCAGTTCTTCTGTATCCCCTCCCATCTAGCCCTTCTTGTTCAGTTCTTCTGTATCCCCTCCTGTATCTAGCCTTTTTTATTGAGTTCTTCGGTATCCCCTTCCTTCTAACCCTTCTTGTGCAATTCTTCTGTATCTCCTCCCATCTAGCGCTTCCTGTTCAGTTCTTCTGTATCTCCTCCCATCTAGCGCTTCCTGTTCAGTTCTTCTGTATCTCCTCCCATCTAGCCAGCCCTTCTTGTTCAGTTCTTCTGTATCTCCTCCTATCTAACATTTCTTGTTCAGTTCTTCTGTTATAAATGTAGTATCCTCTTTCACTTTTAACAGTAGGGATTTTAGTAGTTTTAGGTCTTTCCTACTATGCATACAGCATACTTATTATCATTATTATTATTATTATTATTATTATTATTATTATTATTATTATTATTAATAACATTATTATTATTATTATGTATTATTTATACTATTATATATATCACTATCTAACTTTCTTTCTTAGACACATTTTTCTGTAGATGTAGATAATTTAATCAGCTATAGTATCCAATTTCTCTTCTCTCTACTCTCGATCACCTTATTTCTTTTCTACATTTTCAACTTTTCCACCTGTTTTTATGCAGATTAATTAATCAGAGCTGAAAACATTAGAATGGGATATCCCTAATCCCGATCTGTTTATAAATCTGGAGATTAATAACAAGAGGAGAACAAGCAATATTTAATCTGGAGATTAAGAAAAAGAGGAGATCAAGCATTGACCATTCTAAAGTTTTCAACTCAGGATAATGTAAAATATAATTCAGTTTCTTCCAAAGGAATTGAGTCTTTGCCACAAGCTTAAATCTTCTAATTCCTGTATTTTTTTTATCTGATATTGTAAACCTTTGACATTTCAAACTGTATTATATAATCTAACAGAATTCATAGTATGAAAAATCAAAGGTTTACGACATTGAGCTGCAAAGACATAGGAAGTAGAATTTGTGGCAAAGACTCAATTCCTTTTTGCAGGCAGTTTTAAAGATTTTACTTTAAATTTCACCCAATAAATTAAAATTTTATCTCTTAAAGATTGAAGTTGGAATATTACGAAAAAAGTAAACATGCGGAATAAGTAATTGTTGCACATAAATCTGCTGCCAACTTTATCCAGCGTAATGTCGTCTTTCCTACCCTTCCCCTTGTTTCGGATCAGACTAAAACCAGAGATTATATTCCGGCATCCCTCCGTCCTTGAAAAAACATATTATAAAGTAACACGTTTTAACTATAGTGAATACTTAAATCCTACAATTCGTGAATAATTCTGCAACCCATAGTAATTCTACTTAAAAAACCGGGGTTTTTATTTCTGAAGTAACAACTAAATCTTTAAAATTGACCCGATCACTTTCTTCTGAGATAAAATCACTCATTGATACCCCACAAACACCCAACTAGTGAGTTACCCAATTAAACATTAAACAATCATATACTGATTTTTCATTATTACAAAAACTGTATTTTGTAAGTTTGAAATATACAGGGTGTCCCACAAAACATGACAATAGCAAGACGACTTGAAAGTCGTCTTTGATATTTGAATTTATTTGTGACATTTAGTCTTCTATCTAATTTAACATGTATGATTCTTGAAACAATTATCACATAATTCTCCTAACCCTGGCATTTCCAAAAAGTGGTCTGCGTTTTTTGTGCTTTCATATACTGGAGATATAAAGAGTTTGGTTCAGATTTGAATTTTGTTAAATAAAAAGAAAAATTGTCGAAATCTGAACGAAATTGTTCATATCTCGGGCAATATTGAAAACACAAAAAAGGCAGACCACATTTTGGAAATGGCAGGACTAGGGATATTTTGTGATTATTATCTCTAGAAATTTACTTCTAAAATTAGGTTGACAAATAAACGCAGCAAATTATATCAAAAATCAAGACGACATTCAAGTCGTCTTGCATACTGTCTTGTTTCGTGGGACACCCTGTACGTATATATTTGCAACTTGTGTTTGCGGTTTAGGGGAGCCTTATAAGACCTTCCGTCCGTGATTTGTGTTAACAGTAATGTAATTCAAGAAATCAAAATAATACATGATTCTGTAGTTCAATTGTGCAACGCAGAAATATCAAAATCATCAATAGAGTTTTCAATTGAGATTTCTGTGTCAGATGAACCAATCTGAGAGGAGAGAAGAATCTCTAGGTTTGCTAGGTTCAGCTCTTCTCCAGGGTTAGAACAGGTTAAAGAGTTCAGGGTTACCATATTGGTGAGTTCTGAACCAGGATCCGGGTTCGAATTTATACTGGAATTCTGGGAAGTTAAATCTGGGCTAACATCCATGTCTCTTGATTCTACTAGCGGCAAATTTAATCCAGGGTTGGATAAAAGAAGAAGGTTATTCTCTGGATTCTGGTTAAATAGAGCCAGGACTGTTTTGTTTGATTTATCACGGTCTACCTGGCATACTGCAGGAGAAACCTGGTTCTGTTCAATTAGGGAAAGATCCTGAAGCTCTATGATAGGCTGAGTATGCTGTGGAACAACAGCTGATTTTCTTCTAGATCGTTCTAGAATATTCTGCAGTCTATGCCCAAGCTGTCTTTTCCCTTGTGCACGTCTAAAATTTAGAAGATTTTGTTTTATTTCCGGTGGAATGTATGGTGAATATATATTATGTGAAGAAGCTGGACTTGACGGTTGCCGGTATACTTTTCGGTCTTGTATAACCGGTTGGGGTTGGTGTTCTTGTGGATTAGAATTAAATATTACTGGAGATGGTTGAAAATTGCGGATTAAATCAGGTTTAGGAGAGATGGGTTCGTCAGGTTTCGGCTCCAGGTTTGCCCGACCAGTGCATTTGTGAGTTCTCTGTGTAACCTTGTACCTGGAGAGCATGAAACCGGTAAAATTGAGCTAAAAAAGCAACTATTCATACATTTTTGAAATTTTTCCTACCTGAATTTTTTACCACATTGGTCGCAAATGTATGGCATTACTCCGGTGTGTATCCTCCTACAAGGAAAGATAGAACATTCGTAAATAAAGTGTTCATAAAAATAATTGTAAAAAATAATATGTTAATTTAAAATTTATGGCACAAACTATGAATTTCTAAACCCTATATTTTTGCAACCCAATGTTGTATGCCTTATATATCTTAAACTATTAATTCTGTTCTATCAAATAATCCAAGTTTGAAATTTCAAAGGTTTACACATTAAGGTTGCAAAGATATAGGGATTAGAAAATTTGAGTTTTGTGCAAAGACTCGATTCTTTTGTTTTGAATAGGAGAAATATTGTTTTTTAAGGTTTGTAATCCCCTTTCCATCGTAAGTACAGGGTTATTCATCAAAGGCGAGTCTTAATTCTTTTATTCATGATTCATTTTCAACTGTGAACTCATTTATTGTCTCTGCCCAACTGCTTATACAACAATTCTAAATCCAAAATTAACCTTGAATCTTAGTATTTAAATTTAATTAAAGAACTGTAAGCGTAATTTAAAGTGACCCTCCATGCAAAGATGGCAATACCCGATACACAACAGTACCCTTAAAAGCTTTGTCGGATCAAGTATGAATTAGATATCAATGTTTATAATTTTGAAAACAGATTATTTTCCATAGTGGTTTCTCTACAGTGACTTTCTACTGCAGGATTTACGGATTATCAGAACGTAACCCTTTTAAATCTAGAAATACGACAATATCTTCCACATTATTGATCAGGATTTAAAGGTTCCGTTGTGAATCGGGCATTGCCATTTTTGCATGAAGGGTCACATGAAATTACGCTGACAGTCCCTTTAAGTTTATTAAAGGGACTTGAACGTGGTTCTATTCCTGTGGACTAGATAGGAAACCCTCTGTCTAAAGCTTTTCCCACATGTTTCACAAACAAACGGTCTCTCTCCGCTGTGAATTCTCTCATGGTTCTGTAAAGTTGACAACTCCTGAAATAGGAGATTTTCTCTAACTTTTCTAATCTAATCCTGTGTAGTGGCACATTATAGCAGGTTTCAAACTACAGAATTGGAATTCTACAAGATTTAAAGTTCTTTTTGTGAAAATTTTACAATAGGTTTTAATTATCGAATAAAAATCAGAAAATGATGATAATACACTTACGTATTATTATGTTTTAAAAAAATAATTACTGCAACGGAGGGCTGAATATTGAAAAAAAATCTATTGGTATTGACTTTAGTGATTTTTTATAAACATTACCTTAAATGCCCTGCCACATGTGTTACAGGAATAGGGTTTCTCGTCTGTGTGGTAAAGCATATGTTTGTGGTAGGACTGTTGAAAGGAAAACGTTTTTCCACAGAGGTCACAGGTGTATGGTGTCTCACCTAGTTCAAATATACTTTTTACAATGTAGATTTAAAATGCACCTGACTAAAATTCTCTTTTAAAAAAATTTGGGAGATTATTTTTTGTCTATTCATTATTCTATTATTTGAAATCTAATTGATACTTGATCAGACCAAACTTTTATTGGGTACCGTTGTGAATCGGGAATTATCATGCTTTTAATGGAGGGTCACTTGAAATTACGCTTCTTTTTTGACAAAAAAATAAAAACCAATGAATCCTCAACCCCATCAATAAGGTTTTTTTTGGCTACTATAATTATCATTTGTAAAATCAAAGAACATTGAATTAGCAGGAAAATGCAAAATGTGTAATTGTATACTGTACTCTCGGAGAGGAATATAAATGTTTGTGATTCCTATAATTCTATTACAATATTTACTTTTAATTTTAGTATATGCCTGTAAAAAAATAGAGAGTAGGGATGGATTTGTTTGAAAACGATATAACATTTACCTTTGTCCTTTACCAAAGAAAAAGTGGATAAGTTTATGATTTAAAAAGCAAAATACTCATGAAAGATATTTCGGATGACCTTCTAAGGTTGTAAACAACTAAAATTTATCAAAACGAGTTAAATTAAAGTTATAACATTTAAAGGGACTGTAGGTTGAGTAATTTCAAGTATCCTTTATATTGCCTGAGTTCCATGACCGATTCACAACGGTATCCATTCAACCTTTGTCTGATCCACGACGGTGGGGAAATCAGTATTTTTTTCTTTAAGAACTTTGTGCAAATCGTTTAAAGGGTACCGGGAAACACTAGTTTACACTAGTTTAAAAATTAACGCAGTTTTCAAAAATGAAAAATTCCAGAACTCCAGAACAATAAATAATAAAGTTTTTAAATTATAAAACAGCTTGCGTACAAATAGCTGTTCTGCGTACAGAACAAAGATAGCATCGTCATCCTTTATCAAATATTTAGATGGTACTATGTGGTGCTTCGGACAATACACTATCTACTGTTCTTTATTTTCATGAAATAATATTCAACCCATGCAATATACCTGTATGAAGTCTTCTGTGCTTTTTTAGAAAATATTTTGTTGTAAATTTTTTCCCACAGACAGTACATTCCCACTGTTTAGTTTCATGGTGAGACTTGACATGGTGTTCAAACTAAACATGGATAAGTGATAAACATTGTAATTTAGTATTAGTCCAAAGGATTTGAGTTTTGCCACAAACTCACATTTTCTAATCCTTATATCTTATGGTGTAAACCTTAGATATTTCAGACTTTGACTAATGGATCCAAGAAAATTCATAGTTTGAAATATCATAAGTCTACGACATCGGGTTCCAAAAATCCGGGGTTAGAAAATCTGAATTTGTGGCAAAAACTCAGTTCCTTAACATCTTAATAACATTAGTCCAAATAAATGTAAGTTCAAACGAAGATTAGTCTAAATATTTAAAATACCACCAATTCTTAAAAAATTATAAAAAACTGCATGAAAAATTGTCAATGTAAAATTGAAAACTCAAAGAATTGACAAAACAAAGGAAGAAAATGAACGAGCAAGGATCATTTAATTTAAGTGTTCTTATTAAACTGAAACACATTCCTTTAAAGACAAAAAATGTTTCAAATTTATCGTTTTGCAGTTGGCAAATCTCCAGCTTTACAACAAAATTTAAATTCAGAAAATAGGAAAAATGTTGAAAACCTGATTTTTATCGTTAAATGTTTTGGTGCACATATTACACGTTTTAGCGTCCCAATACTTTCCCTCAAACCCCTCGCCACATCCTGAACAATTATTCCTCTAAAAGATAAATAAATTCATATTTTATACTAATAATTACATACTATAACGATATTTGTATGTATTTATTTTTGAATTCTGCATTATGTATAATAGAGAAAAAGGTTGAATTTTGGTTCTTATTCTGTAGTAAATAACTCGTAATTATTAATTGATTAATGAAACGTAAACGTAGATACTAGGACAATTTCATAGATAGGACAATTTCATAGATAGAATAATTTCCATAGAGAATAGAATATATAGAGAGGAATTTAATGGAAAAAAGTGTAAAACGGCCATTTTGTAGTACTGTTTCCATACTGCAGGTGTACTTCACATATTTATGCTATATAACCTGTTGTGCCCTGGAATATCATTTTATAGAAAATCTAAAATTATTGTTAAAAGAAAACCAAATTATGAAATAGGCTGGTTTCATAATTGACTGCAATGATCATTTCACATAGACTCTATGCCTTCCACTTTACAAACGATGATTTTTCGTTGTAACTATAAATCAAATGATGTTTTTATTCACCTAATCTATTTTAATGTACTCTACTGCATATAATTTGTGAACATTTACATGATTTGTACACTTTGAACTCCCTTTCAGGCTGAAAGGGACTGAAAAAATTCATACCGAGAGATTCTTTTAATTCCTCATTATATATTCTATTCTCTATGATAATTTCATAGATAGAATAATTTCATAGATAGAATAATTTCATAGAAAGGACAATTTCATAGATAGGACATTTAAAGAAAAAGAAATTTATAGATAGGACATTTCATAGATAGGACTCTCCTTCTATAGACATGACATTTCATAGCCAGAGCAGATTTTTAAAAGACAGGGAAGAATTTTCATAGATAGGTAATTTTGAAACATAGAAAAGCATTTTTTCAGAATCAATTTAAGGTTTTTGATAGTTAAAAATTTGTCAATAATTTAGAAAATGTGATCAGTTTGACTATCTATGCCCTATCTATGAAATGTCTGTCTATGAAATGTCTTCTATGAAATGCCCTATTTATGAAATTTCCTGTTTATGAAATGTACTGTCTATGAAATGTCTTCTATGAAATGTCCTATTTATGAAATGTCCAATCTATGAAATGTCCTGTCAATGAAATTTTCTTCTATGAAATGCCATATCTATGAAATACCCTATCTATAATATGCCTGTCTATAAAATGTCTGTCTATGAAATGCCCTATCTATGAATGAAATGCCCTATCTATGAAATTCCCTATCTATGAAATGTTCTATCTATGAAATGTCTGTCTATGAAATGCCTGTCTATGAAATGTCTGTCTATGAAATGCCTGTCTATGATATGCCTGTCTCTGAAATGTCTTTCTATGAAATGACCCAGCACCAAAAATGTATCTTTTAAAGCTATTGTGTAACCCGTCAAAAGTCCATCATAGAACTATGAAAGACTGGAATGCAAAACTATATTTATAAAATTCCAAAACGTTAGAAGTTAGCAAGGGTAGATGAAATAAAAAAGTGATGTCAGTTTGGTCTTGAAAGCCCTTGAAAAAGTCCAATTTCTGATTCATTTTGTAACTGTTTCTACGAAATTATGCCTAAGGAAAGTTAAGAATGATTTTACCTTCATACAGTTCTAAATCCGTCACAATTTCGCCTTTTTCTAAACCATCAGATTTTGCAGACTGTTCAAATTTTGCCTGCGTTACAAGATCTCCATGTTTATCTCCAGTAGCAACTTCAACTACAGCAAACATGTCTGGAGAATCATTCTTTGTTTTCTGTTCAAGATTGTTTTCAGGAATGGAATCTTCGGACTTGAAACTGTTCGTGTTATCCTCGACCCGACCTTGAAACAATTTTTAATTTTTCTTCTTATCATTTGTCTTGGTCTTGTCTATTTCGGATAGTTTTTTACAACCTGTATAGTGAAAGCAATTGGTTGGCAATCATGACTGCTCAACAAACGTTTAGCTTTTTAAGAAATTTTATCTTTAAACCAAAAAAATATGGAACGATTGCCGTCGTTGCCCTTTTTCTTTTTATTGAAAAATGTGTTTAGGATTTAGTAACTGACATGTAAATAAAATTAAATGTTAAAGGCCTAACTTAGCATAATTTAAAAAAAATAAGTTACAAACTGCTTGTTGCTATTGCCTATGTAGTTATTTAATTTAAAGGATATATTATGAATATATAACAAACTTTATTTATTTTTAATTTGCTATATTTTTAACATAAATACCTTCAGTCCTGGTTTTGAGTTCCGAGTTGTACATCACATTTTCTATCAACAAAGCGTCGGGTACATTATCCATCGGGTAAGATCCAGATAAAGAAATACCTTTTGGATCCATCCTCCCTGATTCGGATATAGAAAGATTATTTGGATCCATCCTTTCTGATCCGGGTGGAGATACACCCGTCACAGTGGATCCGGGGAAGGATGCGAAAGAATGACCCGTCCCGGAAGGTCCAGCAAAAGATGCATGGTAAGAATCCGTCCCAGCAGATCCGGAGAAGATAATTGAACCGTGCATGTGAGTGTCTTCTGGTATCCTGGTTGGGTTAAGGTCCGAGCTCTGTAGAGAAATTTCTCCAACTTGTCTGCAACTTCCTTGTAACAGATAAACAGTGCAGATAGGCACTGATTACTCTTATCAACTTTCATATTCTAATCCTTGTATCTGTTTCTAACTATGAATTACCTTATATCACATAATCAAAGTTTAAAATATCGAGGGTTTACGCCATGATATTGCAAAGAATACTTGGAAATTTAGATGTTAGGTACTTTCCCAAGAGGTAACTTCCCAAAGGTATTTTCCAGGTGGCAACTTTCCAAATATGCAATTTCCCAAGCGGCAACTTCCCAAGTCTGTTCTAGCCGCATCGCTCGGCCCCTAGCCTATTATAGTCGCAGCACTTGGCCCCTAGCCCCATCTAGCCACAGCGCTCGGCCACAATTGCAGCCTGTGGCGCCTTAGAAGGCATATCCTAACCTTTGGGAAGCTGCCTCTTCGGAAATATCACATTTGGGAAGTCTTTCACTGGAAAAGTAAGAAAATAATAACACAAGATTTTTAAATTAACCAAATTGTATATTATTATTGTGCTATATATGTCATATGTGTGTGTGTCTAGACATACCTTGAGCTCTATGGATATTCTCGTCCTGGGACTGTGTTCCGTGAGCTCCCTGACCACCTCCATGAGCATCTTGACCACCTCTCTGAGTTTCTTGACCTTCCTGGCCACCTCTCTGAGCTTCATGACCTCTCTGAGTTACCTGAGCTACCTGAGCTCCCTGAGCTCCCTGAACTCCTTGACCTCCTTGAGTTCCCTGACCTCCCTGAGCATCTTGAGCTCCATGAGCTATGACACTTTGATGGAGAACTCGTTGATGAACAAGTAAACTTCCTCTGCACAAATTCATCCACTCAATTTAGTCAAATCAGTAAGAATTCCATTTTAAGAACAATAATCCCCCAGTAAATTAAGATTTAGATTTTTCGTCTTTCTTATTGTTCAGTCCTAATCCCAGCGAGTTTAAACTTTTTTTTGTCGGGAACTTCGTTTTGAATGATAATACAACTGTGTGAGTTTAAAGATGGTTAAAGTATAATAGACCAAAACTCGATAGAATTCAAAAGAAGAAACTGACTCCATCTCACCCGGGTTAGTCCAGGGTGTGCAGTAGGGTTTCTAATCGTAATTCCGTTGCGCGGAATTGCGCGGAACTTACAGGGCCTGCAATTGCGCGAAAGTAAAGTCCATTTGCATTGGAAATCCTAGTGTGCATGCAGTGATTCTATTTTCGTTATGGTTTCCTTTTTTGAAATTGGTTGACAGAAAGTTTTATAAGAAGTGTTTAAAGAATGAGTGGATTCCTGAGTTTGAAAGATTTGTAGCAAAACCTGCAGAAATATCTAGAATCATTGTGAACTTCAGACATGTGCTGCACAATACAAACCACATCATTTAAAAGTATGAGAGGGGGCCCCCCCAACTTAAAAAAGTTATGATTTGATTTAATATGGGAAATTAGAAGAAACTACAATTATTCAAGCACTATATCTCGACCAGGCAAAATTATCTTTTTTTTAATAAATGACTTTCTAAATATCATACAGCTTTATACGTATCTCTGAGCCTTTAAGAGACTGTCAATGTAATTTTAGGTGACCCTCCATGCAAAGATGGTATTGCCAATTTACAACAGTACCCTTAAAACTTTAATCTTTAGTCTTTTGAAGGAAAGCCACAAACCAAAATAAACAGGTTTCAAAAACAAAAACAAGTTCTAATTCATTCTTTATATGACGAAGTTACAACTTAATTTAAAGTTCATAAACCAAAACTTCCTTTCTAGTTAATAAACCTAAACTTCAATTCAAGTTTATTTACCTAAACTTCCTTTCAAGTTCATAAACCTAAACTTCAATTCTAGTTTAAAAACCTAAACTTCCTTTCAAGTTTATGAACCTAAACTTCAATTCAAGTTTATAAACCTAAACTTCAACTAAACTCCAGGATATATCTGGATAATGAACTCCAGGATATATCAGGATACTGAACTCCAGGATATATCTGGATAATGAACTCCAGGATATATCAGGATACTGAACTTCAGGATATATCTGGATACTGAACTTCAGGATATATCTGGATACTGAACTCCAGGATATATTTGGATACTGAACTCCGGGATATATCTAGATACTGAACTCCAGGATATATCTGGATAATGAACTCCAGTATATATCAGGATACTGAACCCAAGGAAATATCTAGATACTGAAATCCAGGATATATCTGGATACTGAACTCCAGGATATATCTAGATACTGAACTCCAGGCCATGTCTGCATACGGAACTCCAGGATATATCAGGATATATCTGGATACTGAACTCCAGGTTTTCTCGTCGATGCAACCTTTGAAAAAATTGATCAACATAATAATATTTGCAGTAAAGTACAATTTAGTAGTAGGATTTATTTCAAATGCTGTGTCCACTAACTAAGGAACTGAAAATGTAATCTCAAGTGACGCCCAATTGAAAGAGTGGCATTTCATATTAACTACGGTACCCTTCTGATCCTGTATGAATATCACAGTTTTCATTTATGAAAAGCTGAGAACTTTAGAATAGTGGATATCGAGATTAATGCTTGATCCTCTCTTTTTCTTAATATCGAGACTAACCTAATCTTGTCCTTGTATCCTGAAAAGTGTATAAAATTCAATCAATCAGAGTTGCATATAAGTAACCGTTAAATTAAAAATTTTACGTGCCATTTAAGATTAATATACAGAAACGGGAGTGCTCTCTGATTTTAAAATACCGGTTTTTCATTTTTCTCTACTATTTCCAAGTAAGAACGGTTTAAGAAGAAAATCAAGAGTGTGTGTATTGAAAACTCAGATTAAGTAATTGGGATTAAGGATATCTCATTCTAAAGTTTTCAGCTCTGATTATTTTAATTCGTTGTTTCTGTACAAAAGTGATTCATTTATTCCCTTAGAAATAAATAGATCAAACAATTTTCAATTTATAAAAACTACGTTATAAATACTTAAACCCACCACAAGTACTCAAACACACAACAAACACATCAAACACTCAAACACTCAACAATGGTAAACATTGAACTAAAATTCTATTGTGTAGAAGACTGTGAGATAATAATACCCGGGAATCCTTGTTATTCTCCTAAACTACGGTTTTATTATTTTATACTTCCTTCATTTCCTTTATAGTAGACTCCCTGCCCCAGATATAGGCTCTTGGCTCTCCATTCTGTTTTACTTTACAAGACTATGTATCATATGAATGCTTGGATGCACAAAAGAAAATGTTTGGATATTTAGGCTTGATTACAGGAGTAGTAGGTTCTATTTATTTTTTTATATATATATGGACAAATACAAAGATTAAAGAGGATATTTTACGCAGATTAATAACATATTATGCCGCGTTGAATTGCAAGACAGAGAGAGAGCATGCGTGTACTCCTTTGGGCTTTTGCCTCAGAGTTATTGTGAACGAAAACCCTCTAAATTTTGAAAAGACGACATCTAGTGTTCTATCTGTATTGTTTTTAATCTATGGTGTTTTAGAACAATTATCCTAGCACGCCAAATTTCCATCTTGGACAAATTCAATAAATTAACCTATTGTGTTAATAGCACTAATCTACAACGCTGTAGCCTCTTTATCCACTGTGAAAACTTTTGAATAAGTGCTTGATCCTTTAATTAGTGTTATACCACGAGGTAAAGGAATTAATCTAATCCATCGGACGATAAAGATACCGATATACTGCTTGGTCCAAATTTTATCAATACTGAAGTTCTAACCCCATACATTAGGACAAAAATAATTTTGGCGACCTTTATCTAAATAAAAAAATGAGGAAAATTTAAATTGAATTGGCTTGCCGTCCTTCCCTCGCATTATTTCTCTATTTTATTTTTTTCTTCTTTCTTCCTCCTCTCGTTATCTATCTTCAGAAGAAAGCTAATTTAAAATTAGTCTTTTTATCAGAATTTTCTGTTTACAAATAAACAATAGAATGAGATATTTATAGATTTTAAAATCATAACAAGCTCTATTAATAAAATACTTTGTGAAAACCATGTTATTTTGTATATTGTTAATTTGATACTTTTCTACGGTAATAAAAAAAATTGGTGTCAAATGGTTTTATGGTTGAAACACTTTTAAGATTGTTTCTTTTCACAAACTAACCACCGTCCACCCCTTTTAATCCCNGAAAAAATGGTTATGATTGAATAAAAAGTGATAAAAGTTTTAATAGTTCTGGTTTAATTCCTTCTCAAAACACTCGAAGTTGATAAACTGTTTCGAGCAGGTTGTGCAGGTAGATTCGAGTCCTCTACTACTACTCGAGGTAGGAACAGGTTTCGAAGAGTGGAGAAATATTCGATGAAGGTTTAAAAATCGTTGGTTATCAAACGTCCAACCACAATCCATACATTCAACATTCTGCTCCAAACATTGGATTGTTTATTCAAATTTTGTTGATTTAAATTTAAATTCTTGCGAAATTCTTGTGATTTACGTTGACAACTTTATGAGAACAATAATTACCTATGTTTTTAAGCTTTCTGTCCTAATTGTTCAAAATTTTATGAAAACATCGAGCTTTTTGTTTGAGGATTTAAGTTTACATACCAAAAAACGTGATTTAAATCATTTTTAAAAGACATAAATGTGCTCCCAGTAAACATTTTACTTTAAGAATGAGTTGTTTAAGCTTTTGTTCTTGGATCCTTCCATTTGGTGTAAAGCTCTGTCACATATTAGAAAAAATATACAAGGTTACTCACACAGAACAGTACTGTAGAGACGACTGTACTGAATTTATTTTTTCTTACATTAATGGTTTTTGCAACTGTAAACTTGGTTCTTTAATTCGCTAAATCAGTTGGTGTTTTATTTTGTAAACAAGATTTAGTTTTCAGATCATTATATATCTTGAGTTTCAAGTCGTCATTAAAGTCTTATCTTTTATGGGTAACCCTGTAATCAATATAATAAATTTAATTTTGAAAACTAATATAATGTTCCTGTTTATCTTCAGAGCTCTGTCTACAAATCCTATTCTTCATTTTACTCCGATCCGTCATTTTTAATTGTTGTCTAGGTTTAAATACACCTGGAGAACTAGATTGAACCACAGGAGAACCATGGTTCGAGTTCTCATATAAATCCGGTTTACTGGGTAACTCTGTCAAACCTTGAGAACGGTTGGGAGACAGTGGTATTTCATTCTCGTTCATTGAGCAAGCACTGAAATTTTGAAAAATTTTCAAAACATTTATGAGATTATTTTTTTTTCAATTTTAAAACTGTTTCGTTCAACGCTATTCTAGTTTTAACAAAACTATTTTAATTCATAAATCAATTGTAAACCGTTACCTGTCTAAAGACTTGAGGAAGTTTAAACTGTCTGGATTGATGTTGGGAAGGGGTTCAGGGGAGGAGACTGAACCTGGATAGGAGGACAGGTTGGATTCCAATCCAGGGTTGGAACCTGAGTCAGAAAACGACGAGTATGTTGGAAGATTGGATGCTGGATGTGAGGTTTGGTCGGAGGAGGAGCAAGAGTAGACAGAAAGACAAGATTCTAAAGTTTTTGATAAATTGTTTTTTGAAGAATTGATATAGTTCAATTCTAAAGATTCCAAATTATCCAAATCCATATTGTTAATGTTGTATTGATTGATACTTGAATAACTATTTAGTAAATCTCTCATTCCCAGGTCTCTCTCACGTTCCATTTCTTGCTCCAGGTTCTGCTCTTGATCTTGGTCCAATTCAAGGTTCTGCTCATGATCTTGATCTTTGTCTAAATCCTGCTCACAGACCATCTCTGTAGAATCATTTTCTGGAGTCTGTTCACTTAAATGTAGATTGTCTGTGACATTAGAATGGAGAGAGAGATGGTTGAGTAGTTGGTGTAAACCTTCTCCTCTCCAGGTGCAGGTGGAATCAGGGCAAACCTGAACCTAAACGCAACTAGATCAATGCTAAATGTTTTTTCAATGCACAACCATTTTTTAATTTCGATATTTATTTCAGAACAACTAGATAAAACTGAAATCAATAGTAATATATGATAATAATCACAATTAAAATATTTATAAAAGAATAATTAAACTAAAATTTGAATAAAGCATAATAGGGTCCAGGTTGTTAAGCAATGGGAAAGCTCTGTTCTCTAAACCCACCTGTTTTAGTAAGGAGAGAAGGGAATTAAACAGAGTTTCAATCTGCGTGAAACCTAAACCGACACAAAGTGGACAGGGAATTGGACCCCTCATTCTGTAACCTATTTTCACAGTATTATTTATCTATACTTGGCTCACTTGTCACTAATCTGGTTTGGACAATATTCACTCATAGATATTCTCCGGGTTTAGTCTGATTGAGTCACAATATAAAGGATTGTGTGGTGTATTTAGGACCTGGAGAAGGTTAACCTGAAAACTGTTTACATCTCGTCTTAACAGGACACACTTCTCTTCCTTTCTCTAAGGAGGAGATATGCTTTCTATCCTCTGCAGAACATACAGCCTGACCGTCAGCCTTACTCACACTAACACACACGAACACAAACACACAACAAACACTCAAACACATAACAAGCATTCAAACACACAACAAATACTTAAACCCACCACAAGTACTCAAACACACAACAAACACATCAAACACTCAAACACTCAACAAGCATTCAAACACACAACAACACTCAAACACACAACCAACACTCAAACACACAACCAAAACTCAAAAACACAACAAACACTCAAAAACACAACAAACACTCAAATACACAACAAGCACTCAAACACACAACAAGCACTCAAACACACAACAAGCACTCAAACACACAACAAGCACTCAAACACACAACAAGCACTTAAACACACAACACGCACTCAAACACACAACAAGCACTCAAACACACAACAAGCACTAAAACTCAAAACAAACACTCAAACACACAACAAGCATATAAACACACAACAAGCACTCAAACCCACAACAAGCACTCAAGCACACAACAAAACATCAAACACTCAAACCCACAACAAATACTTAAACCCACCACAAGCACTCAAACACACAAAAAAACAGCAAACACTCAAACACTCAACAAGCATTCAAACACACAACAGGACTCAAACACACAACAAACATTCAAAAACACAACAAAACAACAAACACTCAAAAACACAACAAACACTCAAAAACACAACAAGCACTCAAACACACAACAAATGTGTTAATGACATCTTGTAAATTGCTCTCCTCGAAGATCAATAACGCCAAAATTAGAAAATTTTGCTTTTTTCATTTCTTATAGTTTTCGTTAAACAAAGATCAAACCCTATTCTGAAATTAAATTGTTTCAAATATCTTTTGATTGTACTAATCTACTTTTTAAAGAACCAGTTTGAGATGGAAGGGGATAGGCCATTGTTGAACCAACAATATTTGATCAGGTTCAAATATTCTGATTATTCAAAATTTTAAGATATTAGAAAGGTTTTATTTTAGAGCTTCAGTCCGTGAAATTGAAAAAGGTAAAATATTATATTTTGATTTATCATCAAACTTTAATTTATGTATCTTTTATAGAGGGTAAACAGTTTTAAAGAATAATCTAACTTTACGACAAAAAATTATTCCATCGAATTTTTTTCGAAACAATTATTTTTGTTTTGAAAGAAAATGCTCGACGTCCTTTACTTCTTCTGTAAGAACAGACTTTTCAGATTAGTACCATTAAAAACCCGGATATTTCAGAATACTAAACTCCAGGATATATGTAGATACTGAAGTCCAGGATATATCAGGATACTGAACTCCAGGATATATCTGGATACTAAACACCAGGATATATCAGGATACTGAACTCCAGGATATATCTAGATACTGAACTCCAGGATATATCTGGATACTGAACACCAGGATATATCGGGATACTGAACTCCAGGATATATCTAGATACTGAACTCCAGGATATATCTGGATAATGAACTCCAGGATATATCTAGATACTGAACTCCAGGAACTAAACTCCAGGATATATCTGGATAATGAACTCCAGGATATATCAGGATACTGAACTCCAGGATATATCTGGATAATGAACTCCAGGATATATCAGGATACTGAACTTCAGGATATATCTGGATACTGAACTTCAGGATATATCTGGATACTGAACTCCAGGATATATTTGGATACTGAACTCCGGGATATATCTAGATACTGAACTCCAGGATATATCTGGATAATGAACTCCAGTATATATCAGGATACTGAACCCAAGGAAATATCTAGATACTGAAATCCAGGATATATCTGGATACTGAACTCCAGGATATATCTAGATACTGAACTCCAGGCCATGTCTGCATACGGAACTCCAGGATATATCAGGATATATCTGGATACTGAACTCCAGGTTTTCTCGTCGATGCAACCTTTGAAAAAATTGATCAACATAATAATATTTGCAGTAAAGTACAATTTAGTAGTAGGATTTATTTCAAATGCTGTGTCCACTAACTAAGGAACTGAAAATGTAATCTCAAGTGACGCCCAATTGAAAGAGTGGCATTTCATATTAACTACGGTACCCTTCTGATCCTGTATGAATATCACAGTTTTCATTTATGAAAAGCTGAGAACTTTAGAATAGTGGATATCGAGATTAATGCTTGATCCTCTCTTTTTCTTAATATCGAGACTAACCTAATCTTGTCCTTGTATCCTGAAAAGTGTATAAAATTCAATCAATCAGAGTTGCATATAAGTAACCGTTAAATTAAAAATTTTACGTGCCATTTAAGATTAATATACAGAAACGGGAGTGCTCTCTGATTTTAAAATACCGGTTTTTCATTTTTCTCTACTATTTCCAAGTAAGAACGGTTTAAGAAGAAAATCAAGAGTGTGTGTATTGAAAACTCAGATTAAGTAATTGGGATTAAGGATATCTCATTCTAAAGTTTTCAGCTCTGATTATTTTAATTCGTTGTTTCTGTACAAAAGTGATTCATTTATTCCCTTAGAAATAAATAGATCAAACAATTTTCAATTTATAAAAACTACGTTATCTTCCACATTGTTACGGGTACGACTGTGAATAGGACATGTTCCCTTATAAAGGAACTGAGTCTTTGCCAGTCTTTCAGTTTTTGTAAAACCTTTATCTTAGCTACCTTTTGATTTAAACCTTTAATATTTCAAACTTACATTATTTGATCTAACAGAATTCATCGTTTGAAATATTTAAGGTCTACGACATTGGGTTGCAACGATATTGAAATTAGAAAATCAGAGTTTGTGGCAAAAACTCAATTCCTTTAGGGTCACTTTAAAGAACAACGACAGTCCCTTTAATAAGTTAACCCTATTGCGACTGACGTCTGGTTTATCCAAAATAGACGGGGGGGGGGGGTTACAGTGACCCCCCCCTTTATTTCCTTATTGTGATACAAATCTATAACATACGATACATGTTTGGAAAGCCCATGGGCTCCGCTTTGATAATCTCTAAAAAAAATGAGCAAATTTGCAAAAATATAATTATTTATTGCAAAATAAAGTTTCATAGCGAAAAATGTGCAAAAACAAAAAAATATTAAGGTCAAAAGCCCTTGACCCAGCAATTTTATTTCAGGAATTAGCATTGAGAGTAAGTATTTTAAGGCTCAAAATAGCAAATTACTCTTAAAACATGTAAAAATATTGCCATCTTAGAACTGTACTTTCAAATTTTTGTTCAGGCATCCAGGCAAGCTAAATATTGTCATATAAAAGGTTAGTGAGTAAGTAAGGTCAAGGATATATCTCATTTTAGAAAAAAATAACTTTTATATCAAATACTATCACTAAGGGGAGTGCAATTTTGTGAAATTTGTTTAAAATCAAATTACAAAATTACAAAAGCAAAATTGTATTCCTCTTTGAATTTAAGGCATCATTTCAAATGCATTTTTTACAAAAAATCGATTAATTTTGGCGAGTTCAAAATATTAAAAATTGTGCGCGCAAGCTATGGTCAACAATTTTTTTTTCTCTATCTAAATATATTTTAGCTCTCAAAAACGTTTTTTTGCTTTAAATCGGTCAATTTTTAATATTTTTATATTCTGTGATTTGATTTGAATTCGGGAAAACAACCCAGTGTTAAAAATACTCAAGTTTAAGATTTTGATTTTATTTGTATTTGTGTTTTTTACATTATTTATCATTACAACTCATATCAGGGATCCTTCTGATTTTTGTAAACATTTCATTTTTAAAACATGCCTTACAATTAGGTATGGAGGAGGAGGCCGGAGGGTGTAAATTGAGGGAGTAGGATGGTATGCGGGGAGTAGAATGGAATGCGGGGGAGTAGAATGAGGGAGTAGGACAGTATGATGGGGAGTAGAATAAGGGAGTAGAATGATATGCAATGGAGTAGAATGAGGGAGTAGGATGGTATGCAAGGGAGTAGATTGAAGGAGTAGGATGGTATGCAAGGGAGTAGAATGAGGGAGTAGGATGGTATGCTGGAGAGTAGAATGAGTGTAAGATCTGTGGATCTTTATAAACTAATGTGTGTTCAGGGTGTTCAAAGTCGAGAAGTTCTCCAGCTCGTCCTACAGAGAACCCCTATCTTCAAGCAACTAATCCTACAAATCTCTACAAATACATTGAATCTACCATTGTTTATCTTACCATTCAAACTACCAATCTAAGATTTTTATGTAAACCTTTTCTAAAGCCTATTTTTTATTCTTGAAATTGAGTCTAATTTTCTAATATCATACATATCTTTAAATAGAACTGTCAATAAGTTTTATAAATGCTTGAAAGTCTAGCCACTTTAGTTTTAATAATTGGTCTTGTCTTTCAGACCAAGATGGGTTAGTTGTACTTTTCTAACTTGTTTTCGTCCTCTTTCTCCAGGTTTATAAATCATCCGTGATTTAAATATTCACATGGAAACTTTTACTCCATATTGCTTGATTCTTTTCTAACGGATGGTTTATATAATATATATAGATTTGTTGTGATAATTGTAATTCTTCCCTCAAAAGTTCCGTGCATGCCTCCACGCACTGAACCAGGTGATTAATTATGAACATTAAAAGTTGAGCTTAAAAATTATCCTGAATTCTCACAACCACTTCAACAACTCTTATGCTAGGCTGGCTTTGAGTTCCTGTTGATCTAGAGCTTTAACCTCTCCGCTGACTCGCGGAGCTAAACCTATCTGCATCCTTGGTCTCTGGGATGAAGATGCTCTACTCTCCTCTCACCTACTAATCTTGACACCCTGTGCCTTGGGTAGGTCATGAGTTCTCTACGTATACAAGACTCCAGTCTCAACGGAGTCCGAGTGCTCCTGTGTCTTTGGACGCTTGGTTGAGTTCTCTACAAACAAGACTCCGATCTCAACAGAGTCCGAGTGTTCCTGTGTCTTTTGACGCTTGGTTTGAGTTCTCTACGTTTCCTCTGATAGTATCCTAGAGGCGTCTCCATCTCTACGTACCAGACCTCCTACGACCTTGGCTTGGTTGTTCTCACTTCTCCGGCATCTCCGATAGAAGGAATCTATCCTCTCCGACATCTCTGACGGAAGGACCTCTACACTGTATCCCTGATCTAAGCTTCTCTAGATCAAATACAGGTACTAATCTCGATTACAATTCTTGTGATCTCTGGGAGAAAGACAATACTTGAGAAGGATATTTTAAGATACACATAAAGATCTCAACTCAACTCTATAAAGCTCATATTTAGTTCTTGTACCCGAGACTGTGGTGCATTCTAAACACTATAGGCTACAAACCTCCGGACAAATCAACATTGTAAGTGAATTTTTCTATTTATTTAAAATTAAACATTTGTTATATAAAATTGAATGTTTTATCTGGAGAAAGTTTTATTTTTAAAGGCTAGAATTTTATTTTATCGTAAAATTAATTAACCCTGGACTGATTTATTGTGTTTTCAGTTCACAGTTGAGTCCTGTATAAACTGCCTACCTGAAATATATATACATAAGATTTAATCAGTGCAAATTGAGGTGAGCCGAAGAGAAAGAGTTCATGCTCGCTCTTATGTTTGTAGCTATTACCTGGTTCCTAAAGGTCAAATTTGAGTACAATGAGGAAGTAGGACAGTATGATGGGGATTAGAATATGGGAGTAGAATGATATGCAATGGAGTAGAATGAGGGAGTAGGATGGTATGCAAGGGAGTAGATTGAAGGAGTAGGATGGTATGCAAGGGAGTAGAATGAGGGAGTAGGATGGTATGCTGGAGAGTAGAATGAGGAAGTAGGACAGTATGATGGGGATTAGAATAAGGGAGTAGAATGATATGCAATAGAGTAGAATGAGGGAGTAGGATAGTATGCAAGGGAGTAGATTGAAGGAGTAGAATGAGGGAGTAGGATGGTATGCAGGGGAGTAGAATTAGGGAGTAGAATGGTATGCGGGGGTGTAAAAATGAGGGAGTAGGATGGTATGCAGGGGAGTAGAATGAGGAAGTAGGATGTAATGCCGGGGAGCAGAATGAGGGAGTAGGATGGTATGCAGGGGAGTTGAATGCGAGAGTAGGAGTAGAATGAGGGAGTAGGATGGTATGCGGGGGAGTATAATGAGAGAGTAGGATGGTATGCGGGGGAGTATAATAAAGGTGTAGGATGGTATTCGGGGGAGTAGAATGAGGGAGTAGGATGGTTTGCGGGGGAGTAGAATGAGAGAGTAGGATGGTATGCGGGGAGTAGAATGAGGGAGTAGGATGGTATGCGGGGGCGTATAATTAGGGAGTAGGATGGTATTATGAGGAGTAAATAATATGAATGCGGGGGAGTAGAATGAGGGAGTAGGATGGTATGCGGGGGATTAGAATGACGGAGTAGGATGGTATGCGGGGGAGCAGAATGAGAGAGTAGGACGGTTAGCGGGGGAGTATTATGAGGGAGTAGGATGGTTTGCGGGGGAATATAATGAGGGAGTAGGATGGTATTATGAGGAGTAAATAATATGGTTTGCGGGGGAGTAAAATGAGGGAGTAGGATGGTATGCAGGGGGGAGCTAAATAAGGGAGTAGGATTGTATGTGGAGGAGTAGAATAAGGGAGTAATATGGTATGCGGGAGAGTAGAATGAGGGAGTAGGTTAGTATGCGGGGGAGTAGAATGAGGGAATTGGTTTGGGTGTATATAGTGTAGAGGCTGTACAGTGTATAGTGTAGAGGATGCAGGCACCTGAACTCCAGGGCTCACTAACCTCCAGTTAGTTTAAGACCAGGAGATATACAACATATATTTACTCCTGGAGAACGGGAGTATGTTCTCCTCAAACCAACCTTGTTCTAACATAAACAAAACCAAGTAGTATACCCCTAGGTGTGATGAAGCTAGGGTGAAGTGAAAAATGAAATGACAGGAAAGTGTTAAAGCTAAAATCTGGCAAGTTATCTGACTGCATTATTCTTCGGCCTCGGCATTTCCAATACTAAGCCTGATATAACCATCCCTTGGTAATTGTTTCTTAGTACACAGATTGAAAGTTACACCTTGTCTTGTCCATATATCAGTCATTTATACAATATTCTCCAGAAGGTCTAGGGTGTCTCAAAAACTAAATATTACACGTTTTTTTTCTTGATTTTTCTATTTTTGTTTTTGCAGTATTATTTTATTATCATTACTTTTGGGCGAAGAAATAAAGGCAACAAAAAACTATTTAGAAGCAAAATGTATTTTTTTTTTATAAATATTCATTAAAATCTTAAATTAATTATAAAATTCCGTAATTGACAGAAAATAATTCTTTTTCTAAAAACTTGAAATAAACATTGAATTGATGATATTGGTTCTTATCTCCCCTTTTATCTGTCTATATACTTTGTTTGTCTGTCTGTTTGTTTGTACCCAATAAACATCAAAACGGCTGAACTGATCGGGCCAAATTTTGTGTGGAACCTCACTTGACCCCATGGAAGGTTTATGGATGATCAAAATAAAAATAAGTTAGCCTCCAACAAAATCCATAAAATTTCCATAAAATTTTGAAAATCCACGAAATTATTTTTAAAAATCTGCGAACTTTTTGTTTTTGCTTTAAAATGTATACAAAGAGAACATGTTTACAATTGAAATAGAAGATGGACGCGAAGCGCCCTGAAAGTATATTATTTGTATAATTGGTAATATATTGGCTGATAAAGAACCTGTTATATGGGTATTAGGACCTGTTGTATGGTAGAGAACGGTGCCAAAATATTGGCACCGAAAAACATGATAAAACATTGTTATCTGTAAACCATATTCCGTGAGAAGAAACCAGGAACCTAATTTAATGAATTTGCAGGGAAATTGATATCACCAATTCAAATCCTTCATGAATCTTTAACTTTGAATCAACGGTTAAAATGTTGGTAGTTCAGCGACCTGGCTTAAATTCATTAAATTCGATCTTTTTGTTCTGAATATCGAAAAACCGAAAACAGTTTGTAAGAAATAAAAGAATGCGAGGGATATCTCACAATCTTTATCAGAACATATAAATCAGAGTTTAGCAAAGTTGCTCAGAGAAATATCACAAAGAAACTGAGTTTTTGTCACAAACTCAAATTGTCTAATCCCTATATCTTTACAATCTGATGATGTAAACCTTTGATATTTCAAACTTAGATTATTTGGTCTAACAGAATTCATAGTTTGAAATATCAAAGGTCTACGACATTGGGTAGCAAAGATATAAAGATTAGAAAAGTAGAGTTTGTGACAAAAACTCAGTTCCTTTGTTAAAATAAATAAAAAATACTTTTTCTTACAAATTCTAACAAAATTAGATCAAGCTATGTCGGTTTAGATAAAAGTTGTTGTTGATGAGATTTTTATCATTCCAAATTCCAAATAATGTTTGGCGTTAAAAAGGAATTTACAAAAAATCTTTGCAATCGTTTACAATATAATACATAAAATGTCTTATCCAATTTCAATAGAAATTTCATCAAGTCAGGTTCATTCTGTAAGTATAATAATAAAAATATACATGAATTGTTGCAAATTAACCTTAACAATCTTGAAATTATTATAAGAAAGATTGTTCCATCTGAGCTGGACAATTATGAAGCTGGGTTAATCTGTAGGTAAACGCTAAACAGTGCGGAAGAAGTCCACAAATGAATTGAGTCTTTGCTATAAAATCAAATTTTATAATCCCCATATCTTTGCAACCTGATAGTGTAAACCGTTAATATTTAAAACTTATATTACATGATCTTACAGACTTCATAGTTTGAAATATCTAAGGTTGCAAAGATCTGAAAATCAGAGTTTGTGCAAAGATTCAACTCCGTTGAACCAGCTCAGTGCTTCAAGATATTAAAGAATGTAAAGATTCGTTTCGATTGCGGGACTACCTTCCAGAAAATGATAGTTCAACAAGTCACACCTAGTTTAACTACTTCCATTATAAAGATCCATCTCTGTTTAGATGTCAATGTAGTAGAATATATGACATTTGGCCATATTTCAAAGTAGTAAATTATTTAATAAATCAATATCGACAAATGCATTTTGTATTTACCTCCTCTTCTATTAACAGATAATAATTTAAATTGGAAATAAAAGCGTGAATTCAAATGACCTTCCATCCAAATAGATTATCAAGTACAATAGGTGGCAACAGGGAAATGAACCAATTGTCTCACATTATTTGACATGTTTTCCAAGATGAAATAAAAAAGTGTAAAAACAGAAACAAAAATACACATAAAATTGCACTTATTTCACTGTAAGAAAAGCACTTTATTCTAAAATTATCTCTATTATTGATAATTTTGTCGGACACAAAAACTGAATTGACACTTATGACGTCAGAATACAACTGTACTGAGAGTGTACAAATTCTACGTTGCTTATCTGATAAAGAATTCTGGAATTTTACTTATCTTTTCTACAGAAATGCTTGTTGAATACTTTGTTTACAAGCTGTTTTATATGTAAAGAATATTGAATTATACTTTCTAGAAGTCACATAAAATAGATTTTCGGATTCGAATTTCGCATATCATGGATTTTCCAAGAATAATTGTGACGAAAGACGCGCCTTTAAAGGTTTAAAGGGTATCGTTGTGAATTCTTGACCAGTTAAAGATCTAAAGGGTACCGTTGTGAATCCTTGATCATTCAAAGGTTGAAAGGGTAGCGTTGTGAATCCTTGATCAGTCAGAGGTCTAAAGGGTACCGTTGTGAATTCTTGATCAGTCAAAGGTTTAAAGGGTACCGTTGTGAATCCTTGATCAGTCAAAGGTTTAAAGGGTACCGTTGTGAATCCTTGGTCAGTCCAAGGTTTAAAGGGTACCGTTGTGAATCGAGGATTCTCCTCTCCTTAAAAAGAAGCTCACTTAAAAATAAGGCCCCTTTAACAAGTAATAACAACAAGGGAATGATTACTCATCTCAAACTCTAATTTTCTAATCTCTATATCTTCGAACCTTAATTTGTAAACAAGATATATTTCAAACTTTTAAATTCTCAAGATCAAATAGTTAAAGTTTGAATTTATAAATGTTTACACCATCAGGTTGAACAGTTATACAAGTTCAAATAGTTAGTGTATGAGGCAAGTAATCATTTTCTTTGAGAATATTTTGGTTTCCAAAATTTTCGTCTATCTCTTACCAGATTGAAATGCTCAGTAGAAAATCCTTTTGTTCGCCCAACAAGCAGTAAAAACATCAAACGTAAATTGGAAATAGTAAAATAGGATTCAAGCTTTAACTTTGGTTGGAAAGAACGATATAAAGTCTCTATAAAATGTTTCTAGATATAAATCTTGATTTAAACCATCGTTTTACGTATAAAGCTCATAAAAGGACCGACAATATGCATAGTGCATACTATAAAGCACGGAGTGGAGGGGGAGAGAGTAAAAACAGGAATATTCTAATCAATTATATACTTTGCTTGTTTGTTAATGGCTGAACCGGTTGGGCCAATTTTTGTGATCCCTCACATGACCCCATAGTAGGTTTATTGATGGGCCTTAAAAAATTTCAATTTCAAAAATAAATTCGCGATTTTTTTGGTTATTGTTTGATGATTTTATAAGAGAAAATCCCAATTAAAATCGAAGATAGGCGCGGGGAAAACCCTGGAAGTATAGTTATATATTTAAAGTTAAATCTAAGTACGGGGCTATTCTTAAAAGTGGTTTGTTGAAAAGTTTCCCAAAAAAAGAGAAAACTTTGCTAAAAAGTATAAAAGAGAAAGTGTATTGAAAGTTTTATCAATAATTTTCTGTTCACAAAATGAATTTACCGACCATAGAGTCAAAACGTTGAATATTTCATTTTTTTGTTCATTTGAACTTTTTAAAAGTTCATTTAGCCGCAATGCTCGGCCCAGAAATTGTCTTAACTAACCTAACTTTGAAATAATACATATATTTAAACTATACTTTGGTTCAGATGAATTATTTTTATGTTCATCTAAACTCCTAGCCGCAGCTCTAGGCCCCCTAGCCTGTCCTGGCCGCAACGCTCGGCCCAGGAACCTTACCTAACAATGAAATAATACAATTTTTGTCATTTTGTTGTTTTACAATTTGTTGCGTTTTTGGCCGTTTGTCGTTTGACCCTATGTCGATGAAACTGATTTTTAGGTAATTCATGATTCGTTGAACAGACGTAGATTGTGCTCAATCTAAATCAGCCTTTTTTCCATAGTGCAATTATATTTGAAAAGCGAAATCAATAAATATAAAGTTAATCTCTGTTTGTTTCCTTGTATGTTGAATTAAAACTCAGGAACACCTGGAGCTCAAATTTTGATTGGAGAACTCGTCAGAAACATTGGAATGTTCTTTAAAACTTCTATGCTTAGTGTGTTGACTTTTTTAGAAAAAAACTTCGTTTCCATGCATAGTTTGTTTTAAGCAAGTCTAATTCTATACATAAATAAGTAATCTCTGTTCGGGTGTCTAGTTGTGTCCGATTATAACTCTAGAAGGTCTTGACTGATCATGCATCACATTTTGAATTGGGAACTCGGTAGAACCACGGGAATGTTTTTTAGTTTTGGTTAATTTGTTAATATTTCCAGACAAATCTAGGTTTCCAAGTTAGTAATATAATACTATTAATTTGTAATTATCCTATTATGGCATTTTAAGAAGGCGATACAGGTCGGTGATAAGGGTTGTGGAAAGCAAATGAAGGGGGGGGGGCGGTGAAAGAAGAAAGAGGGGGAGGGGAAGTGAGTAAGGAATTAAAAGTGAGGGGTTGTCATATTGATTAAAAATGAGCTAGGTAGTAGGTAGTATAGGAGTAAATAGATTGGATCTAATAAGGGGGCTCGAGGGGTAAACGAAATACAAAGAGCACAGGGAGGGTGGCGGCGGGGGAATGTGTGAATTTATAAGGTTTAACTGTATACAGACTTAACCACGATTTATAAGACATCAAAGACGACAAAAAAATTTTCCTTAGTTTAAGGTTTTTCAAATTAAAAATTAAGAATTAAATTG